CGGCACAGCACCTGGGTTCTTTCTGCACAATGCCATTGCCCTCAGTAGCGTGCTTCGGTGCACGAGGCCTCATTTACAGACAAACCAAAATTGCACAAGCAGGTTCACATGTTTACACTGTTTACACCTTATGAAGCTGCAACGGCAATGGCTTTGCTCCATGATCCCCTGCACTTTTTGCAGCCTGTCATTTTGATTTTGAGCAGCAGTGCACACGCTGTTGTGTCTTCATGAACTGCTCGTGATGCGTTCTTCCTCTTGTTTTCATCTAAGGATTCGCGCTCACCGTGACCATTGTCGGAAGTGGAGGGATGCCTGCTGCTGAGACATGCCTCACTCGGCCACATGGAGCAGAGACGGCAGCGCGACACACCTATGATGTCGGATACTCCAAGTGGGAGAAATTCGATGCGGATGCTGCGCTGGCCGAATTGGACCGTCCCACGCCCAAGACTGACGTAGCCGAGCTTCCACGAATGCCATCCATTGATCGCAGTCTGGAGCCCATGGAGATGCTGGATGCAGCAATTGCAAGGCTCCAAGAGCCTAAAGCGGATCAACAGATAGATGCCGAGGAAGCGGCCAGTATCCCCAGACCGGTCGTTCCAGAAGAGACTATTCTTGATCCAAGCAGTGAGTGCCCTGAAGTAAAGCCTATCGCAGTTGACGTGGCATCAACTACAGCCCACAAACTGACCGCTGAATATGAGAAGTGGCAGGATTTCGATGAGGATCTGGCAGAGCTGGACGACGATGAGGGTACAGACTTTCATGTGGACTCGTCTGGTCTTGACTTAAATGCATTAACCGGGCCGGAAGAAGAAGTCAGCCAGATTCGGGCCCATTGGCGCCGGGAGGCCAGGAAGATGGCCAAATCCAGCAAGTCTTTGGGACGAGAGCCGCGTCAACTCCAGCCCAGTGCTCGGATGGGATCGGACGTGCAGCCAGGTCCGGTACAGGAGCGACCTTCTGTTTGTCAGTCATCTTCCAATGCCATGAAGCAGAGCTACGACAAGTGGAAAAGCTTCGATGCAGATGAGGCAATTCTGCAGCTTGACAACGAAGACACGACGGAGGAAGGAAAGGCGATGCGGCTGAATGCCGACCCTGGCTCAGCCTTTCTAACCACGGAAGGTTACACCAAGGATCGTGAAGAATATGACTTGGATGAAGACATCCAGCGCAACATGGGTAATTTGAAGCAGATCCTTGCACAGAACTTCAAAGATGCATCGGCTTTGAAGGCGGAGGGAAACGAACTGCTTCGAGCGGGCCAGGCCGGAGAAGCCAGTGCCAAGTATGCACAAGGCATCTCTACGCTGCAGCTTGCAAGCCACGCTTCCGTGCTGATGACGACCTCGCTAGCGGAGAAGCAGTGCCTCGCTCAGGGCCGGGTTCACAGGTGTTTTTCGTCTGAGGTTGAAGGTTTTCCCTTTGGCGTTATATCCTGAAGCCAGATTCCTAGCTAGGTGGGAAGCAAAGACAGAGCCCTGACAGTTCAAGCCCTGCAGCCTTTGTCTAAAACACTTCGGGCCTGATCTGAAGGCCTCAACCCTAAACCATATGCCGCGCCTGGAGTGTCCGAGTGTGAGCGCCGAAACCAGCCCTGAAGCCTCCTTGTTAGCCCTACTGGTAGCCTCGACACTCCTTAAAGTAGAACGCTAGGCAATAAACCCTCACCCGACCATACAGAACCCAAAGTTCCAGAACCAGACAGTCGTGCAAGGTCCCGGCTGCTGGCGGATCTTCGCCGCAATTTGGCAGCTGCTCAGATTGCAGTTGGCGATTTTGCCGCTGCACTGGACAGTGCGGATGAGATTTTGCGAGCAGCCTGCTGGCAAGCAGCCGGTTGACGGTGAGCTTTTCGTTTTTTCGAAGGATTTCAGGAAATGGGCCTCGCTGAAACAGGACACGCACTTTGAAGTGTCGGCGAAATGGGTCGAAGCTAGGGCTTGAGATTCAAGGTTTCCGTGTGCGAGCTTTACTGGGTCTGATGTGACCGAAAACACTCAGTGGAAGGAGGGGTAGGAACAAGGGAGCGACAAGACCAGCAAGACCAGAATTAAGAGCACACGAGCAGTAGAACATGAGAACAGCGCAGAAAGGAACCATGCACGAATGCAGACAGATAATAAACACGCCCATGCCCGCACACAGGTGCAAGCAAAGAAGCAAACAGGCGACCATGCAAACTAACAGAAGGATTGCCACGAAAAGACCCTTGCACTCGGCACATGAGCAAGATAGACACATCAACTGACTCTTGACAAGAATCCTTTGTAGTCTGAGGTGCGAGCAGTAGCTGGCGGCTGCGTGGCCTTGGTACTGCGAATGTTGCTGACGTGGGAACTGCACCAGTCCACTGCAAAATCCCCTGGGAGTGGATCAGCACAAAACCGTGCCGGCAAAGGTAGAGATGAAGTTCACAAGAAACACGGTCATGGTGGCCGCTATGCATGGCCGTAGGCCACTGAGTGTTGGTCCAGGTCAGGAGGGCACGGGCAAATTCAGAGGGTGACGGACAGAGCCACAGAACTCAGCACCGGACCCACCGACATGCGACAAACGGCCAGTCGATACGCCAATGAAGGACATATCACAAGCAGTGAGGCATGTTTCTGCCGCTGTTTTGGCAACCTCATGCCGAGTGCATTGGATCAACAAGGCTGAACCACGTTTCTTAGCTCATCTTGGTCAGCATGCATCAATCGCTGCTGCTTGAAATGCCCGGAGTCACTCACCGCACGTCTTGCTGCCGCAACAGCGGTGCACTTGTAATGCCGGCATCTGTCCAGAAGCTCATTGGCTGTCGTCAAACCCAAGCGAGCTTTAGCTTTAAAGGTGGACCGGTTCATCCGCAACTAAGGAACCAAGCAACCCCAAACACTTCCCACAAGTCAGTGACTGAAGTGTCAAGAACCATTGTCTTCTGATTTCAAGATCAAGTCGGCACTGGCACTTGTCTGTGGCTATCCTACCGCCCACCGTCGTGAGGGCTCTTCTGAAAAAACCAAGTAGCCTAACAAATGCAAAGGTGGAGCCGAAGACCAATTCCGAAGCATGCGGCAGCGCGAGACATCCGAAGGCTGAGAACCTGCAACTTGAACGCCTCGCGCTGGATGAAGTGTATCGCTCCTTCTGTCACATTGCACGGGTTCAAGAGCAAGGAGCGCAGGGAACATGCTGAAATCCTGAGTCAGGAAGCAAGTGAAACGAGATAGTCACTGAAGGCGGCAGGCTCACTGGAAACGGCCATATGCACGGCCAGCAACGTGAAGATTGCGAGGATTTTGCATTCAGCATGCGCTGGGCTCCAGGACCTGAACCTGAAAAGCTTGAATCGGCTCTGGCTGAACAACAAGGCACAGCTGTTGATGTAAGTGCTTCGTTGGCTGTTTCCTGTGAACATTTCAGTCGTTCTGACCGACCCCAAACAGCATGCACTCATGTTCATTGATTCAATGCTTCCCGCATTCCAGCCGAAGGGCATCCGCACTCACAGACACAGACAGCTGCATTCACAAATTCTGGCAGGATGCCCGCAAAGTGTAACCTCACAGAATCCTCACAGAATCGGCAGGCGACTGGTGCTTGCAACCCTGATTCTACAACAAGCCAGGGTGTCTGTGTGGAGTCGAAAGTGTGCGGAAATGCTTCTAATGAGGCAGCCAAGCACTGTCAGGCTGATGACAATGATGGTAAAGCACGGTACCGACGTGCGGTCGCTCTGCTTCGCCTGCGACGCTTTAGCGAAGCATCGGAGGAGGCCTGTGCTTGGAGGTTCATGGGTAGTTATAAGTCATTTAAGTAGGGTTATAAGTCACCAAATATGGGTTATAAGTATAGTTGCCCTACTTATAACCCCACTGATAGCTCCAAGTGGTGACGCAGTATTTCCATCCTCAACTTTGCCACACTTGATTGGAGGTGGGGCGCTTGGAGTCCAGAGCGCAGACATGTGACTTGGCAGCATCGGCCGGCACCGAAGTTTCAGTAAACAAGTCTGGGCCCCGAGGTGATGATGCAGCAGTAAGGAGGTTGCGAGAAGAAATAGCTGCGGCGATCTCACAAAAGCCATGACTCATTGTGGGGAAAAGAGCGCAGCCAGCTGCACTCCAGCATTTGCGGTGTGCGTACACGGTCCGTGTCGGTCAGAAGAGAGTTGCTTTCGCTATGGAGGGCTGTATAGCATGAGCTGACATTCCATGTCTCCGAGAAGTTGACCTTTGTCTGTCGACTCATATGCACCGTTATGCACCTATTTGGCAGGTCTTGTGCTTGGTTGCCGGCTGAAGTAAGGGCAGTCCACAAGCTGTTAAACCTGTTGCTGCACCTTTACTACATGCGTACGGCGTAGGAGTAGTCAGGCACAGGCTAGATCTGATTGCTACATCTTCAAAGTTGAGATGCTGGCTTTGCTGCCTGCGCATTTTTAGGCTGGCACTTCATTCTGTTCATCATCATGGGCTGCTTTGGCTCCGATTTCGTCTGTTGGCTTACATGCCAGGCGCTTTGCAGCACCCGGGTGCCATCGTGCGTAGCTGGTATCTCGGCTTGCTTGACAGCACGAAAGACGAAGTGAAGCCGCAAAGCATGTTCGTGACAAAACTAGGCAGTTTAGCAAAACTTGTCCATGCGCATGGTTTAGCCGAGACGCAAGCATGCATTTTTTTGGAACGCACTCAGTCGCGACACCCACGCATCAGGAGCATGCATTTTCAATTACGAGCGGAGAGAAGTATATCTTGTAGAATCGACTGATTGCTTTGGAGCATTGCCTCGTGCGGATTGTGCTATAGCAGATTGCAAGGGCAGAATTGAAAGAGTAGACAGCAGCGCAATGCGCACCGACGTTTTGTTGTGTTAACTTGCTGACAGATTGGCTCAGGATCCAGGATGCTTAGAACTTCAGGCACTGCACGATGCAATTTTGCAACGCGATGACTAGGTGAGGACTGCCGGATACGGAGATACGGGCGTAGCTTGGAGCCGGCGTCGCCATGTGGATCTTCGCGGCAGCGCTCTGGCAAGTCTGGTGGATCTTCGCAGCAGGCCAGGCCGGCATGGGTTGTCACCACTCCTGGTGCGAGATGATGCTGCATGCATCTGGTTTGGTGTGCAGCTTGAGTTTGATTGCGCGTCTAGAAAACTTTGCAGGTGAGACGTGCGACTGCAGCAAGTCTGGACTTAAATGCTTCTATGATGATTCCTGCCCTGGACTTGGGTGTGGAGCTGAAGGAAAGGATAAATGCAGATTCTGTGGTTCGGGCGAGTTCAAAGACTGTCCAGATCATGCTCCGAAGACCTCGGACACGAAAGCTCCGGAAGATGGGTCAAAGGAAAAGGCCAGCAAGCCTGCGGCGACTGAAGGGCACTCCTCGGACATTCCGAGCGTGGTCTTAGGAGGCCATGAGGTGAAGACCTCTCATGCCGGCAGAGCGCTCAGCACATCGAAGCTTCGGCAGGTAAAGCATGGCTGACAGCAGCCCTGGTTGATGCAAGCAGACCAGCTATAGGAACAGAACTCGTTTGTCACCCCAGGCCAGAGCGCGAAGTGCCCATGCGAGTCCTCAAAAACACAGCGGTGTTTCTATGATGCTTCCTGTCCTGGGCTTGGATGTGGCGCACTTGGCCATGACCATTGCTGGGGCCCAAGTCAGCTTTGCAATGGATGATCGTAGACTGTGGCAGCTTCATGTCATGGAGATGTTGAGGCCGATTTTGCGGCGGGAAGGACTTCCATCCTTGTCCATCGAAGCATGAAATGGAGCTTCTCGCAAAGCCGAAGGCCAAGGAGGCGGTGAAACCCGCGGCAGCCGCGGCAGCCCCGGCCAAGCCAATGGCGCTCCATGTTTCACCTACGCTTGACGAGCCCATGTCTTTCGACGTTTACCGATGTATGGCAGCTGCTGCAGTTGACACCCATCCGATGGAGGATGATGACATTGCCGACCTGGCCGGTGCGATCAAGTATGTGCACACCGAGATCTTGACCGAGCATCTGCAGAGTCCGATCAGAACAAGTCGGAAGTATCATGTGGATGCGATCACAGCCCACCGGTTCAGGATCAAAAACCCGAGCACAATTCTGCACAGGTCAGATGCTTTACAGGGTGAATTCGGTGCGTTCGTGACCTACGACTGGGGCAAGGCAACAAATCCAGCTCAGCTGCCAATGATCGCAGACAAGGCACCTTGAACTTATCCATCGACTTGTTGTCATGGCCTGCGTACAACTGAAAGTCAGAAGCTCATACGAGTATGTACATTCGACAGGTATGTTTTTTGGTAACATCCCGGCCCCACACCTTTGACGGCTTCGATAATTCAACCGGGGTTTCTCCCTGTCGAACGTGCGACCTCGCGATTCGGTAGGCCCGCCCGGTCTCCATGCCTTCCAGAAGGATACAGAAAGAGCAACTCGCCGTTGACGCAGCTCCCAAGTCGCCAGCGCATGAGGGCGGAGCACGCATGTGCAGGTCACGCCGGACAGTAGCGGTGCTGGGGGGGAACCATTCAGCCAACAAGAAGGAAGAACACCAAAAGAAGTAGAAGGAGCATTCGTACCTCTCGTTCACGTCTGCAGTCAGGTTTCGGGAAACGGTGTCCTTGTGCTTGCATGAAGAAGCGTCAAGAGAGCAGCGATGGAATCAAGGGCAACTTCGTCGGCATCGCCCCTTGTACAGTGCCTTGTCATCAACATGAGCTCGAGGCTTTCATAACTTCACGTTCCACCAAAGCATTCAAGCCAAGAACTTGCACTGCGACGTGCGTTTCCCACGGGCCATGCCGTACGCCTGGATGTCGCTCGGCACCCTGCATGCAAGCCTGAGGAAGCTTTGACCATGTTAATTGAAGCTGTCAGAATTCAGCCTTTTGATGTTTTGCACTTCGTTAGAGGCAACTGGTGTCCGAACCTGACCTGGGACAAGTTCCTTGCCGGCTTCTGGTGTCTGTGGCCCGTGGCCGATTGCTTGTGTGCTGCGTTTCTTGGGGTTGGGTTGTTGCGACTGAGTTCTTCAAGCAAGGAAAGGCTCCAAGAGCGACCCCAATCCGCATTGCTTGAAATTGGCGACGGATAACACTGTCATCCAAGGTGGTGGCATAATGGGGTGGGGTCCATGCTTCAATCGCATTGTGCGGGGGATTTGGGCAGGTGGTCTTTGCGCAGATGGCTTCACGGCAGACAGCACAAGTCCAGGCGACAATGAAGTGCAAAGAGAGGGAACCGTAGCATGCAGCATGTCCATGGTTGCAAGGCTCCGATCCGACCGGGGAGCAAAATTGCGTGTACACATATGGAAAAGCAAAAGTAGTCAAATGGGACGACCTCGCACCTTGGCATCGATCGATTGTGGCGCGACTTCGCAGAACGCAGTGGTCTTTGTTGTGTCCTGCTGCAGGTCGGCATTACGGCCGAGGACTGCGGCAAGCGCAAGTGCAAAGACTGGCTCGATTTCCGAATGAACTGCACAAACAGCCACTCGATTTGTTTGATGTTGGCAGGATGTGCCCTCTTGTGTGCTACCGAAAAAAAGAATGTTGAAGGTGTTTAGTTGCTTCTTGATGTGGCGAGGCCAATACAAACGGCAGTTTGCCCTGGACGGCAAAATCAAGAAAGTGGACTATTGCGCCTTCGTCACGAGATGCTTCTGTGGGTTTCTGACTTTCCGGGAGCACGGGCACGGCTGACACTCCCAGGTGTCGAGTTTGACATCCATCCTGCCTGCGAGGCAAATTGCGAGGCCCGATCTAAGCTTTGGGCCTGGCAACCGGCACTTGCGCAACAGTCCATCCTCGAGAGTCGAGAACTCTGCTTCGACCATCACTGCCCATACAGAGAGTGTTGTTGTCACATGTAACTTTGTAACCTCTCAGAGTTCCTGGCTCGTCGTTTTCCCTTTGACTACTCTGGGCCCGGCCAGGTTGGTCAGTGCCAGGACTTCTTGGCGAGTGGAAAGGAAGCATATCTCGGAGCCAAGGCAGAATTTCTCAGGGGCTTCTTGAAAAAAGTTCCCGATTCTTGGCCCTGTGTGCAGCGGCCCCCAACCTGCTGACCATCCCGGTTCATCAAATTTCTCAAACATTCCCCCTCATTTCCCCGTTGACCACATATCCGAAACACGAGCCCTCCCTGACTGCTTCATCACATATCCTCAACACGCCCCCTGATCTGGGAATCGGTTGCACGCGTTTCTTAAACCCGCATGCTCATTAAGCGGTTCCGATTCTTCACATTTGCTAAACACGCCCCCTGCTTTGGCGAACTCGGTTGATCAACCTACTCTCATTTGGCGGACCCGGTTGATCACATGTCTTAACCCCGCTCCCTTTCATTTGGCGATCCGGTTGATTACATGTCTGCCTCCTTTGGCGATCCCGTTTGATCACATTTCTTAGCCCGCATTTGGCGATCCCGGTTGATCCCATTTTTTGAACCCGCCCCTTCATTTGGCGATTCGGATTCATCGCATGTCTGAAACCTGGCCCCTGCGCCGCGTCATTTGGCGATCCCTTTCGCTCACCTTTCTTGAACCCACCTCATTAGGTGATTCTGCTGACATTTGCTGATGCTCCCTCCTTTGGCGAACCCGGTTGACGACACATGTTTGCCCACCCTCACATTTAGCGATCCCGTTTGATCGCATTTCTTATGACCGGCCCCCTCATTTGGCAACCCTGCTTGATGACATTTCTCAATATGAGCCCAAGCAGCCCAGACATTTGGCGAACCCGGTTGCTCGCATATTTGAATCTCACCCCGTTTCATTTTGGCTCGTTAGTCACATCTCTTAGACGCGCCCCCTCATTTGGCGATCACCGTTGGTCACTTGTCTTAAGCCCGCCGCCTCCTTTGGCGATCCCGCCCACTGGCCCGTTCCGCGGCGCGCGTCCCGCATCCCGCCGTGGCTCGTGGCAGCCCGGTGCGCATGGCCAGGGCCTGCTTCCGCAGTCCGCTTCCCGCGACACGCGGCCCGCGGCCAGCGCTTCTGTGCCAAAATGAGCTTGTATATACCCGGCTGCAAGAGCTTGGGCTTTGCACAAGTCGTGGAAGCCCAAGGATTGGCATTCTGGCGCGGTCGCTGCGATCCGCGAGCAAACGAGCGACGCATTGAGATGGCTCGCACCTTTGATTCGTGCTTCCACAGTCCCAGAAGGCATCTAGACTCTAAACCTGCCTTCGTTTTAAAGTGTGAGCTAGGTTGCATACTCTCTGGGCGTGCCCGGCGCTTTGAAGAGCCACGACCTCGTCGACGCCGAAGTCCTCGAGAGGCCCTGCCCGCTCTCGCCGCTCGGCCGAACGACCAAGGCCCAGCTCCGAGCGGAGGTCCCTGCGCACTGCACTTCTCTTGTTTTTTGCGTGGCTCCGAATCCGAAGGAAAGGGACCAGCTGGTCATGCCAACCATTGGATGGCCACGGTCCATATTGCTCCTTGGCTTAAGTTTGCGGATGCCCACGCCTTTCCTTTGCTTTTTCGATGTTGAGCATCTAGCAGCTCGATCAGCATGTCATCTGGCAGGCACACGGAGCTACAATGGAGCCTGCGACCGATGCTTTATTCCAGGCGTGTGTCGGTAACACAAATTCCATGAATCTCGTGCCTTCGTTTCTGGCTCGACATGGCCTGACCCCACTGACTTCACAAGTCAGTTTCAGAGGTGTTGTGGATGGAGTGGCACCAAAGCCTTGGTGTCCGCTGGATATCCTCAGCTCTCCCACCTATGCAGAACTTGGGCTGAAATTGCATTATGACACGAGTGCATGTGTCTGGATTAGTCCACTGTGTTTTCTGTTCCCTCTGATTGTGACGCATGCAGCAGTTGCGAGCACATCCCCAAAGCATTTGCAAAAGCCCTCTGCGCGGTTCACACCCGGACCAAGGACATGCCGAAGAGCCTTTGCTGCCCTTGTGTGAAGTCAGCGATGCGTTGGTATCACAGAGCATTGCTTGTCGAAGGCCTCGCTGCAAGAGCGGCTCTGCATCCGACGGCTGCTGTTTGTACACCAACACCTGCCTGGACCTCGGACTGACTCGGACTCCTCGGACCTCTCGCGAGTCGACCGTGTCGATTGCTCCTTCGCGGCACTTGGCAGGCGACGGGACATCGGATCCTTCCAGCGCAGACCTCACAACTGATGGCCTGGCTTTGGTGGCTTCACGGCCTGTGCCTCTGCGGACAGGGAACTTCTCGGTTCAGTGACCATGGCTGTGCAGGAGGAGCACGGTCGACATGGAGCAATTCCTGCGGCGTCACGGGCTCAGACCATCTCAGATACTGCCCCAGTGCCCCAGAGATCCCCCAGAGCTTCCCGCAAGGCGCAGCCTCCCAGGACCACCGCTTTGCCGGTCTGGGCCTGGCGGGAACCAACATGCGCCTTGGCTTCCAGAGAGCTTTGCTCCGGTCGCAGCCTGGTGACCTGGTGGTGCTTTTTGACTCTCAGGAAGTGGGCGGCCTATTTCGCTTGGAGTTCGGCCCCTGTGGACCGAAGCTTGCATGAGGCCGATTCCGAAACTTTGATGTAGCAGACGCGATTCGCCCATGCCCAAAGATGCCGGAAGGCTCTGGAAGAACTGAAGATGTTTCTGTCGTCGGAGACGCCAGTGATTACCCAGTATGTTGGGCCCTAGAGTCGCGAATGGCTTTTGAAAATTGTGGCGTCTGTGAGGGTACGAAACTTCTAGTTTCGAGCTCTGAGGCGACAACCACGACAACCACAGCGATCAAAATACCGGTCGCCGGGCCCCACGCGACAACGCCGTCTTCACTCAAGTGTGCAGAAAGCGACGCGCTTCGCTTCAAGTTTCGTCCTACCATCTAGCTGTAGGAGGGAACCCCTGTGCTCGGCATGTTGAGCTAAAGACTGCTCGATGATGATCGATGCAGTGCACACACAGGCACGCAAAACTCAGTCATGCGTGGGTTGAAGCCAGGTTTCCTTCATGCCTCTGGACATGCCTGAAGTTCCAATGATATTGACGACCATCGGAGATTGCAAGAAGAGATGTTCAGAGCAAGAGGGCTGTGGCTTGGTCTGTCTCTGGTGCCACACTTGTTCCAGTGATGCGGCTCTGAAAGAGACCGTCCATCCCCGAGGCTTTCACTTCTCCTTCTTGGTTGCTCCAGGGCTGGAACAGGGCAGCTGCCACCTGGCCGGCTTTTCCGCACTCGCACAGGCGCGGCAGAAACAAAGCACGGACGAGGCTGCTTCAAGACATTCCCGCCATCCTGCGATAGAGGCCTTGAGCCCATCGTGGATTTCAGGACCCCCAGAATGCTGGGCTGATATGGAGGCGGGGTTGACGGGCTGTGCTTGGGCATGCGCATCGAGCAGCATAGCTCAGGAGAAAAGCCTCTTGATTGACAAGGGCCACAACACTTACGCACCTTGCCTCCTAATGACTCGTTGCGAAGTCTGGCGGGTGTGGAGTGTGTCACAAATTCAGTAGGCAGTCCAAGGTACCGGTCGACTTTGCCTGCATGTCCTGGGGGAGCTCCTTCCCAGCCACAGTTGGCGCCCTGACCACTTTGGCCGCCAAGGACTGCCCGAAATAAGAGGAACAGCGCTGTAAGGCGTGAGGGTCATACTATGTGTAGCAGCACAGGGAGTGTGAGTAGAAACAAGCACTAGCGATCGGATCGTCTTTCGAATTTTCGACTCTCCCTTTCACCCCGCATCTTCGCCGCTAACATGTCACATTTGTTGTTCAGGACTTTCCGAAAGAGCAAGATGCTGTCCTGTCGGTTGGCTGCACTGACCGGAGCTAGCTTTGCATCCTGATTCCGCCTTGATAGTGTGCAGAGTCCTGACGTTATGACTGAGCATGAATGCCCGCCCACTTGCGAGGGAATGCCAAAAGCTCTGCCGTGAGAACGAGAACTGCGAGCACTTTACAGCCCCTCTGAGATGTATTCATGCAGGATTCTGAAAAAACTCATGGCGACATTGCGATCTAGAGGTGACCTTCCCTCTCAGAACTTGTGCCCTTGCTGGTGCTGGAGCCGTGGTCATGGATGGCATTGCAGGAGCAATATCCGGACCACCAAAGTGCCTTGAGCAGAATCGAAGTTGGACTTTGTGGTACGACAGCTGAGAGCAATTCTGATGCTGCATGCAGGTGTGGAGAGAAAGCCATGCAGCACCTCAGTTTAATTTCGGCGGTTTCTGCGACTTCACGTGTTGACGATGCTTCTGGCTATACACATAGAAGCAAGATGCATGCTTGGGCTGTCCAGTGCGCAGGTCCTTTTACTGGGAGGTTCTCCCAGCTTATGCTCAGCTACCATGGAGATGGAGATTGCCGTTTGGTGCGACACTCTACTGTTACAGGAAGCAGAGGAATCAGTCAACACCTAACTTGCACTTGGGGGTTACGGCCTGTAGCGACGAAGGAATGTGATGTTGGGTGGTGGTCTGCTTGCGGCTGGTGTCGCATTCTTTGCGTAGGAACCTCAGCACAGGAAGGACTCCAGTCTCTCGGTTAGTGTTGTGCAAGGCTTGACCCGTGTTTGTCAGATTCCGTCGTCGACAGCCTCAACGTACGGTGCGTGGTATTGAGAGAGCCTTGGTGCCGGAGGAGGAGGAGGCAGAAGAGAGACAAGCTGCCAGTTGATGCGGCCAGAGGAGAGGCCCTGGCCCTAAACCCACCAGCTTGGCAGGACCTGGAAATGACAGTGCTGGAGTGAGGGGCGCGCTACATGGTCAAATCATGTCTCACGCACCGCTTTCGTGCAGGGGTTGCCGAAGCAGCCTTTGCGCGCATGGATGTGTCGGCTTACAAAGAATAAAGCCGCGAATCCAAGCCTCGAATCTGCAGACATGGGCAGACACCTGCCAGTGCTGCGATGCTTAAGGGCTTAATTCACACTCATGCGGGGCGTCTCTCTCGCCCAGGAACCTGGGCAACCTGTACAGCGCCTCGCTTGGGGGCTCCAGTTGATAGACCGGATCTGATGTTGCATTGCTGGTGACGGGAAGATTAGGCTGTCCGTTTTGGCGCAACCGTTGTTCGCTCGCAGCTTTGTCGAGCTGCAGTCACACCCCAATGTGGTAGATTCAGTTTGGCTTTGTGTGCCTTGCCTTTGGCCAGAGTCATCCATGAGGAGACATGGCATTCTGCCGCCAGGTTCGCTAGTTAAGCTACACATGCCAGCCATCTCACCATACGCTGGCTACAGCTCCTGTCCTACAAGTAGGTCCTCAGCAAGAAAACATTTGTAGTCGCAGAGTCGCAGAGTGCCAAAATGGCACAAGCGGGCCAAGATGAAAGCAAGCTGCACCATCAAAAGATGGAAGAGCTCAGCAACTTTCCACAGCGACTCTGGCTGAGAAAGCAAGTCGTTGCGTGTTTGCCGAAGCATTGCATGACCTTTGTCTCCCGTGGCCACGAAAAAGCAGCAACTTAAGGTACCTTCCCGCCGAAGTCCGAGACGGGTTTCTTGCAGACACCACAGCCCGGCAGGGTTTTGTTCTCCGGCTCCTGTCTTGCGCCTTGGCCGTATTTAATAAACACCTTCTGTGTCCTTCTGGCCGCGGGGGGGGTGATGAGAGACGGCCGTGCGAAGGCGATCCAGCGCCTCCAGACTCTACGGAGGTTCTTTTCGGCTTGAAGTGTTTGAAGATCTTGGAGGAACTGCAGGCACCGACTGCACTCGACTTCAAGCTCGCAGTGCTCCGTGCGCTTTGGAAGCTGATCATCGCAGGCTCTGCATCACGGCCTGGACGCCCATTGTACGGATATTCTGCCAGTGCCAAGATCCTCGAGAGCTTCAGGACTTGGTTGCACTTTACAGATGCAGAGCACGTCCTGCCAATTTGGCGGGATGATGTTTCGAATCAACAGGAGATTGCTCAGGTAGATGCTTTTCGGAGAGAAGTGGACGTACGGGTACCTCTTCGCTTGATTTTTGAGGAAGTCCGCAAGAGCCCACGGACCGACTGTTCTGCAAGCAACTCAAAGCGCAGGAACTACGTACTGCAACTTGTGAATGTTTGTTCAACATTCGCCAACTTTCATGGTTGCATTCCAGTTGAAGACGCAGTCGAACTAACGGCAGAACTGGCCAAGGAAGTTGATAGTTTGCACGTGTACTCTCTCGTCTACGCCAAGATGCTAGTCTTCACCACACCGAGGGCCATGACACCGCAAATAATCTTGGATGGCAGATTGTGGTCCTGGTGGTCAAGGTTGCCAGAGGGCTTAATTCCAAAGTTTGACCTCATGTGGTTCCACTCGCTGGGCAGATATGCGGAACTCCACTGGGCAAACAAGGTTGAGGATGCCTTGAGCCAAACGGGCTCCGCGGGCAGGGCTGCCGAGTGTTTCAGCAAGCTTCAAGAGCAGCTGCCGTATCTGATGAACAAGATTGCTCGTACGCTTTGCATTCCCTTCGGATCTCCGGCTGCCAAGGCGGTCGATGGAAATAAAGGGGAGAGGGCTCCAGATCTGGACCGTTACCCAATTCCGGAAGAGGTTGATGCTGTGTTCATGGGCAGCCAGACTGCCTGGAGGGAGGTCGCCATCTTTCTCGTATACCTGCTGGAACCAGCTCCCCCAGAGCAACCTTCCTCATCGAACATATGGACGCTTCTGACATTGCTCCTGCGTCGCATGCGGCCATTCATCACACCCGCAACTTCGCAGGGAGAGTGGCTATGGCACTGCACAACACTTATGCACAACCTGACGTCGCAGTATTTCAAACGGATCAGTCGAGAGCGTTTGCTGGCCACGACTGCCCCAAAGGCTCAGCATTTGACAGCAGCAGCCGACCAAGCTTTCCTGAAGCTGCTGCTACCTTTGGTGCGTGACCTCTTGACCGTGCGATCAGCACATGAGGTCGTAACTTCGCTGGACAACTTGTCGAGGCTGACCAAAATTTCCGCAATGCAGCCAGGTTTGGTTGCATTTGATCCGTCTTCCTCCATTGACCCCTTTCGTGTCGACTTCCAGTCGATGGTCGTACAGGCTACTGAGGTGCTGAATGACCCGTCAATGTCTGGGAGACATGCTACGCTTCTGCGGGTCTTCGTCTCTATCATGCCAGCTCTGACCTGCCAAATGCCGGCTGTGGTTGGAGAGCTTCTCCCTTTGACCTTGCTGGGGATCGACCCCACTGATGTGTCAAAGACGATGTGTGCCCTGAGGCTGTTGACGTCAGTATTTTCGCAGATGCCGTGCTTAGACATGAATGACTGGGAGCTCAGAGACAAACCCACGGGCAGCGCTTTCCGCCACATCCAGTGGCCACTTCCAGCAGATGCCCAAATGGAGAGTGGAGACCCTGACTACAGTGCCACTGGCATTGTTTCGTCCATGCTGCCTGCCTTTGCAGTCGAATTTGTGCAGCGTGCCTGCGACTATGTCACAAGAATTCCAAAGCCACGAGGTGCTAAACAAGGCAAGATTTCAATGGAGGGTACTTGCACAGGCTTGCTGCATGGAGCTCTTTGCCTCGTCGCCACCCAGACGGACAAAGAAACATACAAGCAGATGGTGGAAGAGGTGTCCCAGTTTGTCAGCAGCAACCTTCTACCAGATCAAGTGAAACCTGCTGGCCAGGTCATATTTGCGATTTCTCGTGCATCTCCGGAGATCTCGCTGTCGATGATGCTGCCGATGTTCTTCAAGAAGATTCTTGCGAGTCGATCAACAGCAGTGCCACTTCATGAAATAGGGGTCTCAGAGAGTGAAGCCAAATGGTTCCTGTCACTTCTCAGCGCCTTGGTACGGTCAGGTGGGTCATGCTTGCTTGCGCACAAGACGCAGCTGGAGCTTGTGATCAGATCTGCACTGTTGGATGAGCGAGAGGCGGTGACGAAGCTTGGCATGAAGCTTCTCCGCCGCGTCCTGTATGCGATCACGGCCATCTATGTAGAGACGGACTACAGGCTTTGTGACTCCAGTGTGTGGCAGGGGTTGATGGGCTGTCGACGCGGCAGCAGCGCACCTGGCGAAGCAGCTCTTTCATGCTTGCTATGGTCGGGGGTCAAAGGGCCCTGGTGGTTGCAGGAGGCCTCTCCAAGCGCCCTAGCATCCGTCAGCTGGCATGTGCCCTCCCAGGAGGAAGTGGCATGGGCACGAAGCTTGGTCTTCGGGGCCCTTGACCAAGCTGGCAAACTCCTTAGCTCCATCATCGAGGTTCCAAGTCTAAGTGGAGGAGGCTTTCCAGAGGGTCCCAGCTGGCTCGAAGGGTTGGCCACTAGCTTGCCACCGAAGAAGAAGTTCGCGTATGGTATCATTCTCGCAACCCGTCTTGTCAATCAGGTTCTGAGGGGCACATCTGACCTGTGGCCAGACGAGCGCAGCAGCGATGAACTTGAGGCAAGGCAGCTGCCGAAGAACCTCAAGGTGGCTGGCGATACGGCAGAGGCCATCTATGGGTGGCTCTTCCCGGTTGTCTTGTCTGCATTCAACGAACTGGCCGTTCAAGAACAGTACGGTGTTGCTCAAGCCGGTAAGCTGGACCAGATTGACGTTTCGAGGGTGATGCGGAAACTTCTCAAGTGCGTGGCCGAGCTGAGCAGTGCGTGGAGAGACGTCCACCCAAGCAGCCTGCGACTCTTCCCGAGCCTGCGCCATGTCGACAAGGAGGCTCAGGCCCTTGCCTGGCATTCCACATCCATGGATCAGCTTCACCCTCACTCGAGATGGCGCGATCTTCCCCGAGTGTGGTGGGTGGAGCGCATCGCTGAAACCATGGAAGGTCGCGTCCACGAGCGTCGATCCGGTTTCCGCTATTGCGGACAGCGCCGGAAGTTGGTAGAAGCAGTGGCGAGACAGATCTTTACGAGCGGCTTTGAACCAGTCCGTGCTAGAGCACTTGAGATTGTCACCATGTCAATCCAGCATCATCAGGGCGGCCGATGGCCTCTGGTTCGTGATATTCTGCTGCCTGCATTGGCGAAGGAGACTCAGGCAGCAGCCCAGTGCTCTTCCCTGACGGGTGATGGTGCAGATAAAGAGCAGCAGCGTCTCAACGATTCCTTGTGTGGTCTTGCGTCAGCCCTCGGCGGACGAATCAATGGCCTCATAGGTGCTGTCTGGCGGCGTGGTGGGGGGCTGAGTGAACACTGAGGGCTTAGGCTGCGCTTAGTTTTTTTGCTTGTCGCCGCCTTCTGTAGCTTGAAGCACCGAGGCATTGATGATGCTGCGACGGTCGGGCTGGGACTTTGTGAAGCCATCTATGCGGCAACGCCGTTGAATGCTCAGTCCGGAAGCTCTTCTCCGCCAAGCGACGCCAAAGAACAGAAGTGCGAAGTCAAGCCCAACACTGTGGCAAAACTGATTTCGGCGATGAGGCACTGGCTCGATTGTCGCGAGGTTCAGTGCTGGGCGGAGACACGTCAGCGCTCCGACACGCCATTACTGCAAGACGAGACTGTTGATGAATCTGAGCCGGCAGCTTCCAAGCTCGCTCGTGGAATGAAGGCAGTTCGAACTGTTGCAAAAGCTTTGCAGATGTGCGAACGTGGAGATTGCCACTGGAGAGCACAGATCATGGCATCAACGATGAGCCTTGCTTTGCTGAATTCATTCGGCAGCCTGGGCCTTCCGCCAGGCTTGAATGTGGAGGAGACCGCCGAAGTGAAGATGGTTTGGTCACAGTGGGGGCGTTGGCTCGTGAAGTGCATGGACCCGAAAGGTCAGCCTGGGCTGCATGCACTGGCTGTGCACAGCCTGCAGCTCATGCTGAAAGTATCTCCCCTCAGCCAGTCGGAGTTCGCTCAACTGAGAGTGCAGGATGCGGCCTTTTATAACAATCTCTTGAAGGTGTTGCCACCATTGAATCATGAGGAATTGATGGTAACGGCAGATGACCAGGTGGGGCAGAAGAGTGAGCCCACGAGGGGACCGGTGAATGTGATGGTTCATCATGGTTATTTTGATGTTTGGCCCAGAATTTGGTTGCGAAGATCATCACATGCTTTCTCGCTTCAGAATGCTTTGTTCTGGCAGAGCTACGCAAAAAAGCTCACAGCTCTGTTGAGCCGTCAAGAACTGGTGGATCTGCTCCAAAAAGGAGCTGAGGAGCTGGCATCTCAGCCCGTTGCTGAAGCTGAGTACCATGCTGCTTTCGCTGAATTTTCGGCAGGAGTGCTGCGAGCCGTGCGCAAGCCGGAGATGCTGGAGCTCCAGAAAAATCTGTGGAACCAGTTGCGGCCACTGTTTCTGTCCGCTCTGCAGCAGTCTTCAGAAGAACGTCTTGGGACGTGGTGCGACGCCGTTCGCTACATTGCGACTGGCTACTCCCGGCCAGATCTCTCCCGTATGTTTGCATCAAAATCACTCGCGGAGCCAGAAGGAGCCTTGCAGTACTTGACCCCTCTGTTCAACTTCGTTGTGGGCGGCGAAGGCGAGCTATCATTCGACGCATTAAGCTGCACGCTCCCTCCCATCCGGCTGCTTGCCTGCGAAATTTACCCTCGAGAGAGAGAGAGGGAGAGAGAGAGAGAGATGACGAAAGAAAGAGAGCGAGACAGAGAGGGAGAGAGACTCGAAGCGAGAGCATGCTGTAGCCTTACGATGAGGCCTGTTGGGTGTATTGCTTAAAGTTCGTTGTTCGCAATTGCCCAGCTTACAGGCCTCATCGCGGTGTCACGTGTACGGACTGCGGAGACTAGGCCGTAAGCACGCGGGGGTGGGTGGGCAGGTGTCCCTTCTTGGCTGTGTGGAAGAACTGACAGGCATGGGAAGCACATACGTCGGTAATAAGGCAACTAAACGCACAGGCCCAACCGGTCTAACGACAGCTGGGCGGGCAAGCTTCAGTGTAAACTGATGATGATATGCCAGAATCTAGTACAACAGCCGGGGGCTGCCGGACTTGCAAGTGGACGAGGGTAACATGCCCCTCCATGTTCGACACCGATTGTCACCCGATAGCCATATCATAAATCATAAATGTTTAGTTCTGCCTGTTGCGGACACGCCTTTGTACATGTTTACGGGCATTGGATTGGATTCCGAGTGTCACCCAACTCTGTTTCCAGTCCTCTAACAAGCGAGCTTTGCTAACAAAACTTTTCCAGCTCTTTCAATCGTTCCCGAATGCGGGGCGCAGTGCTCCCAACTGCAATTTGCGCAACGCCTGCTGGGATTTGCCCATAATGAAGGCAAAAGGCTCGCAAACTGTCCCAAACTACTGTTCCTGGCATGGAGCTTGTTTTGGATTGACACAAAATTGAATGAGAGCAGGTTAAAGTAGGTTAGATGAGAAAGGTAAGGTGAGATTAGGTTAGATACGAATGTACACACCTAAACGTGCTTGTGCACAACGACACAGTGATGAATAGGGCTAGAAATCGGTTTGGTGTCTTTAATGTGGATACCGGTCTGTCGCAGACCCCCGCCTGGCCGTGCTGGACCTTTCTGCTGTTGGTAGTGGATGTGGCATCTATCCCAAATCACTCAAGTTCAGAGAACACAAAGTAACGACAACATTTCAATGTTGGGTTTGAGGCCAGATGTTAAGCACAGGTTGACGCGGTTGCTGCCCTGGTGCATGGGATGGGAGATGCTGTGGGAAAGGCTGTGATGACTCCTTCTCTGCACTCACTCCTCTTTTGGTGCATGGGAACCCTTCCGACCATACGCCCAGGTTTGAGTACGATGAGAAGCTGTCCGACGGTGACAAAGGCTCCTCCTTCGACTCCTTTAAGCGCTTGCGGCTCTTGATGTCTCTGCTAATCGAGCCCTCTGCCACCAAGATCTTGGCTCAGAACGAGAGCTTTTGCAGGAAGCTGGTGGAGACATTGGAGCAGGGATTAGGCCACCCGTACAAGCAGCTCCGTGAAGAGGTGGCTCGGGGCCTCTTCTTCATCGTCCAGGCGGCCAGCCACCAAAAGTCCGCCGAGACGACGCCGGAGACCGGACTGAAGTTGGTGTCTGCGCACTTGGAGACCTGGTTTTGCGCGGAAGCACAAAGACTTACACCTTTGCTTCAGGCTGATAACGCAGCACACAGAAGCGAGGGAGATGAGGCCGTGAGACCGAAACACGTCGTCGAGAGCTCGGGCCTGGTTTATGTCCTCTTGCATGCATCCTTGGCAAGATTTACTTCGACTCGCCTCCGTGAGTCCGCCTCGGAACTGCTGGGATTTCTCGTGGCAGCAGCTGCACATGGGGACCTCGAGCTTCGAGCGATTGCCCCACACGCCCTTTCTTTGTGCTGCGCTGCGCACCCCGTCGCGCCCAGTCCCAATCACGACAAGCACTGGACAAAACTGACAATGGTGAAAGCATTGAAATCCCTTGTCAGCGATGGCATTCCGGATAAGGAGTTGGAGAAAGCCTTGGCAGCAGGCCTGAAGCCAGCTGTAATGGCAAACTTCTTTGTGCTTCTTACTGGTGGTCCTGAGGCACGCTCTCTGTATTCCGAGCTGCGCTCAGCTGCAGAGCGGTCTCTGGGCAACAGTAAGCCTGAAATTCGAACTGCGTCACGCGGTGCCGTTGCAAGCTTCTTGACTGTAGAAGCAGAGCCGGAGATTCGTTCGCGCCTCAAATCGCTCAAGTCCATGGCAGGAGCTCCCGGCAAGCGTGACGAGACCAAACCAGAAAACGGCGACTTCTGCTCAGTTGTTAGCACAATGGCCTGCATGCTTTTGGCAGCTGCAGACTGCGGTGTGCCACAGTGGTCTGGCCTCGCCATTCAGACCGTGGCGCCGTATGGAAAGCCAGGCATACAGGAGGCAGCTCGCAAGGAGGTGCAATCTGCCATCCAGGCATTTCTGAAGCTGCAGCAATCAAATCAACAGACATGGAAGGAGTGCCAAGACAAGCTGACATCATCGCAGCTCGAGCTGCTGAATGACAACAAGGGCAAACTGTCCTACTTTTCATAGGTGTGTGTAGCAGTTTTGCAACGGCACAGCCGCAATGATATCAACGAGCGCGACTTGCAGTACTTCCACAGACTGAGGTTGCATCGATTGCAGTTTTCGCTCCTGCCGTCGTAGCAGGGTCTACGAATGTAGAAATATGTAGCATTGTTGTACACACATAACTTGGACCTAGACAGCTGCTGAAGCGTTGTCGCCATGAAAAGGTCTGCATTCTTTAGCTGCGCCAGCCGCCAGCCGACGAGAGATCCAAACTCTGCAGATTGGAACCGCGCAGCAGGATTCACTCACAGGCACTCCAACCGGATACTCATGCTGACTCATGCTTGCCGGGCCGGGAAGAGCAAATATCTAAGAGCAACTATCTCCCAGAATACCACAGCACAAGCACCAAGAAAGAAACGTGGCATACTCCACCATGCTCATTCCGACTCCCCCGAGAGAAGATGAGGCAGCTTTATGGGTGTCTTTGTGAAGCACCCCGAAGCTACATGAACTCCCGCTCACGGTGAGAGGTCGGGATTTCGGAATACCTTTCTCCAGACGTGCCCGGGTTTTCCGGTGAGCCACTCAGTGTTTGGCGGACGACTGCGTACAATGGTAGCACTGCGAAGAGAATGTCGGCTGTGAGGCATCTTCAAGTCGCTGTGGCAGGAGTGCTTGCGACATGTTGCATCGGTAAAACACGAACGAGAACAAGAAAGAGGGACAGACGGCCTCCGCGAACTTCTGAGCCTTGAGACCCGCAGCCTAACCCAGGTCCGAGCTTTTTTGAACGAAGATCACTTCGCTTTCCAAGGTTTTCCAAAGTTCGATGCATCATTCATGCTTAAGCTACCTCCACCGTCAACAGTGCGCTGCACCAGTACGACCATGGAGGGGAAGTCCGGGGGAGACAAGCTCGAAACTGTACTGGGCTACCGTTGGATCCTTCGCCTTTGGCATGCTCAATGTGGGATCCACTTGAGTAGACCCTGTCTGAGCTCGCGCACCGGCGAGCACCAAACCGAAAGCCCTAACTAAGCAGCCGCAACCACAGCAGCGCAGGCGGGTTGAACACAGGCGGAGCCAGTAAATGCGAGGGGTTCTGCCAGTGCTGTGGCGGAGTTAGGCTAGGGGTCAGGTGCCAGGAGTGCACGCCGTCTGACAAGGGCCATCGGATGATTGGGTTGTAGCCCCGTCCTCAACCACTGAGAGCCCCGTCACCGCCTTGAGCACGGCATCATTCACATTCACTTACCAGCATCCCAGCATCAGCTCGTATTTGCAATGCACTGCTGCCTCCTCCGTACGTCTAGCTTTCGTCTGCGCTGCCTTAGAACCAGAAGATGCAGCTCAGATAGATGGGCCGACAGACCATGCAGGATTTCCACGTGCACGAGGTTGACCCGCATGGTGTTCGGCCCTCGGCCCTTGCTCCCCGCCTCGCCCCGTTTTTTGCCACGTCCACTCCCAGGTGGAGCTGCACCTGAGCGAGTTGATCAGTCCTGGGGCGGTGGCCGCGGAGCTGAAGAAAGCAGCCGAGGAGAGCTCGCCTTAATTTACCTCCCGGAGTCGCAAGACTTGCGTTGAGTTGCACAGCATCGGGTTCCAAAAGTCGGCCACATGCCAAGGCGACGAGAAGCTCGAAGCGCTTTGGGTCCAGACTTTGCCTTCGAAGCATCTGCAGCAAACGTCCAGCTCTGAGCCTGAGCAGTGAGTAGGAAAGACTTGAATCTGAAGACTTCAGACGGCTGCTCCTGGGACTTCAAGGAGTTGCGAGAAGCACTGGGACAAAGGATCCTAGAACAGCTTCTCGGTCCAGCCCGGCCTGTTCGAGTTCCCGGTTGATAGATGCCGGCTGTGACACGCTGTATGATGGCAGGCTTCCTGAAGAAGCAGCAGTCGCAGCAGACTGAAATGGGCCAGGCCATTCTCGAGTTGATCTTGCCGCTTACCAATGTTGAAAGCACGGCATTCATGCAAGGGGCCGGCGGCAGCGTCAAAGGAGGGTTCTCCGGCAGTGTCCGCCGACGAGAAGGCTGTGGTGGCGGAGCCTCCCGGCTATGCAACCCGCCTGCAGACTTGACTAACAGGGAACATGCTCTATGCGATTCCCCACATAGGTGGACCTGAGCACTGAAGAGATCAGCGATGGATCCAAGGAGGCTCAGGGGGAGGCCGCAACCTCTGGTGCCTTGAAGTGGATGTGACGAGGCTCGGAAAAAGGCCCACCAAGTCGTTCTGAAGCATTTTTCCAGCTTTCTCAACACAGAAACGGTGCGGCCCTTGGCCGCTGACCCTTGTTTGCAGCGAGGGTGAGAAGGCCTGCTCCCAAGGTCGAGGCCGATGGCAGCCGATGTATCCGCGTTTGGATGCGTGAGGCTGCGCCTCAGGGCTTGTTTGTGCAGAGTAGCTGCCATCAGCTGCTTCTCCAAGAGGCCGAGCGGAAGGCCAAAGCGCCGACCGCAGCCTCGCCAAGCCCACAGAGCCGGATGTGGTTGCGTTGTGGTACGGTAAGGAGTAAATAGATGAGCCAAGGTCCGGAGACATCAGCCACACTGGCCAGGATTTCAGGAGCATGCCAAACACAAAGCCTGGCAAAAAAAGCCCAACTTTGTTTGTGCCAGGCTCTGGCAAGGGAGCCAAGAAAGGGAAAGGAAAGGCTGGGAAAGGCCCGCTCAGGCAACTATGATGCAAGCTTTCCTCAGCACAGTGACAGGGCGAGGCAAGAACAAGGGGAAGAGTGGCAAGAGCGAAGGTGCGACACCTGCTAGAATCTGCTAGCAGCATGCAGAGATCTCCATGTCGTCCACGGAAGGGCCTCCATCGGAAACTGTCCCGTCGGCTTTCGGTGCAATGAGAAGAGAGGGCTGGCCAAAAGTTTCAGACTCAGTTGGCATGTCGCAGAGATTCTCGGAACGTCGCTGAGCTTGTTTGGGTGCCAACAGGACAGACCTGACTACTTGTATTTCCGCCTGTACAAGGAGAGTCTTGGCTTGGTCGGGAACGATTGAACTATTCGTGATATCTTTGCATGCAGCTTCATATCCGAGGAACTGTGACACAGGGGAGGCAGTTTCTAGTATTGCACGCTGCGTTGGAAGATCTGCCGGAGCCCCATGGTGCCTCCCACTGTGCAAGCTTAGAGGTGCGGACAAGGGAACTGTTTGGGCTTTGTGTTTCGGTCCTCACGCAGGTCCCCGTGTTCGCTTTAAGTTTTAGGTTCCTTATTACAGGCGCCGAAGAGGAACAGGTTGGACGGGGCATCCTTCCTTCAATGTGTTGCTGAAAAAATGTAGTATCTTGCCAGGCATTGCCACCCCTAGGATCGCACATGTTCTGTACAATTCGCTACGATGGTAGGATTTACCTCCTTTGTTTAAGCTCGCCTAGCTTGCGTGCAGCACAAGCCTTTCACAAGAGGTTCATCTGCTTGCGGAAAGCTTCCGAATCTTCACGCGAGACGTTCTGCTTTTCTAGAATCGTGCGCCCAGCAGCTCTTCCCAGCAGACTTTCCCTCCAGTCTGCCCACAACCTCCGCTTTTTTTGCAACCAGCACAGCAACTGTGGTTGCAAGGGGTCCACACGTCCCGACGAGGCGAAGCAGTTCACCTTTGCAGGCACCAAGGACAGACGTGCCTCCGCCTGAGCTGGCAGCTTCTGAGAAGTTCTGTGCTCCCATGCCGTCCTGCCCAGCGTAGGCAATCACCGTTCAGCAGATCTGTGTCGGCTCCTAATGTGGATTGAACAGACTTCCACATCTCATGCTACATCATGATTCCATGGTACAGATTCTGAAGGCTTGATAGCCGTTCTTCGGTTGTGGCTCCATGGTTGAGGCTCACCGCCTGCCGATGGATCAATTGCGCCGAAGTGTGCTTCACAGGAGCAGCTGCGCGTGGTGATCCAACATGTCTTGCAGTTAGTGTTGTCACTGTGTGGTTGCCATAGACAGGCTTTGGGACAAGCGCGTGCGCATATCGGACATGGAGTACAGAAGGGACCGGTTGAGACTTGGGCAGCTTTGTGCTTGTCCCAGAGATGAGATTCCGGATGAACGAGCTGGTTTCATTCTATGCTGTGAATAAGCTTGCCGCCATGTGCGATGGAGCATGACTGCCACGGCAAGGCGGAAATCGTTTCAAAGTGGTCCTGCGCAAGGTCCCACTGAACGACTTTGAGGCCTTCCATCGAGCAAGGCCAGAGCATTCATGCGCCATTGACGATTTGCTGAGGCTTGCTCGAACGGCTGGTCGCTCAGCGCTTTGCACTGACCTGCTTCGCACAAGCCGACATGGCTGAACAGAGTCCTTCTAGATCACAGCTAGGGAGTGCAATTCTGCTCATCGCAGGTGGCGATGCAATCGCTCGTGTCAGCAGCAGCCTCGGCACTTCTCGAAGCGTTCAGAGATGCCAAGAGCTTGCAGGCAGAGCTCTGTCAGAGGCACAAAGAGGCCGACCCTGAATGTTTCTGCACTGCTCTCGGCCACTAAAAAAAAACATTATATGCATGCAGCCATGTTAGGCAGCAGGGTTTGCACCACTGATTATTTGCAACATGAAGGATATGCAGGGGAGCGGGATTTGGGTTTTTTCAATGCAGGTTGGGGTGTTCACTTACGGTCAACTTGTTAGGGCATTGTTAAGGCCAGGATGCGTGAGACCGTTGGACATACGGGACCCCGTCGCAAGCATTCCGAATAAGTTGAATAGCGCATGCCTGTTGCTTGGCCCGCCGAGCAATCCACATGTTCAATGCAATTGCAAGTTGAATGACTTGTGGCTGTCGTTGTGAAACATCGAGGTTGAAAGGGTCCTCTCGCCGCTTTCTGTTTGCGGCCGCTACACACAAGGGCACGACAGGTACTGTTGAACATTGCCACAGGCATCTGAAGATGACGGGGCATGCCGTTGTCCTTACATTGCGAGCATCATCAAGCTGTCGCTCTTCTCTGCAGACCGCTGATAAGCAAAGATCGCGGCGCTCACGAAGGGGTGCATTTTCGTTTGAGTACGATGGCAAAATGCCAGGAATCCACGGCTCGTTCCGGTGGCTGGTTGAACGTCAGGGTTGTTCCGTATCGAATCGCAAACTTGAAGCACATGCGTAATCTCTCGTTCGATTGGAGCAAACCATGCCCAACCTGTCGCAAGGCTTCTTGAACTACTTCGGCCTGCAGCGCTTCGGAACGCGCCAAGTGCGGACTCACAAAGTGGCTGAGCTCAGTCGTGAAAGAGACATGTTTGCCTCTAGGAAGCTTTGGACTTGGGACAGGTCGGTGCAGCGATCATCTCCGCCGATTGGCAGAAGGCGCTGACATTGAATGCTCTGTGTGTTTTTCCGACACTGTTTAGCCGAAGAGCACAAAGATGGCCTCCCTGCATGTCCCTGCCAATTACTAGTACAAGTGATACGGAGATGATCAGTGGTGTTGTGTTTCGTGCCACTTTCGGGTCACTGTCGCCGACTTAACATCACCAGACAAAGCTCGCACCCGTCATATCCTGCACACGACTGCTTACTGGGCAGCATGATGCACTGCATGTCCTGATGGTGTCGTCCCAAGCCTCTCTGCACAGCCTGATGGTATTTTAGTTTGCAGTTGTTTCTGTGAAGAACGGGGATACAGATTCACCATGCGTGCCATCAGGCGTTTGAGCCAACTCGGAAGACTACTCACAAGCTACTGGCGCTAAGATCGGTGCTGAGCCTTCCTCAATATCCAAGAAGAGTTGCATGGAGAGTTATTTCGGACCTCGTTCCTGGAACGTTCAAAAGGCTACCGTAGAAGATGCACACCGAGATGCCAATGTCTGCCAATTAAAGCCCGCGAAGACTAGCAGCGAGCTTTGCTAATCAATCCGTCTAGTTTGCCAGTGAGTTGCCCGAAGATGTTGCAGAGATTTTCTTAACGGATGCATGGTTACTTGAATCTGCTTTCACTTTCAGCTTCAACTTTTCGCAAGGGATGCGTGGTGATTTTCCTCCGCTGTCAGGGCATCTCCCCACGACATAGACACTCAATGCGTATCATAGCTTGCATGTAGGCTGTAGGCAACTCAATGCCTCGTGTGCATTGGAGCTCCGCAGGCAATTCGATTGATCCTTGGTGAAGTCGACGCGAAGCCCTGCGTGGGGCGCACGGCCGCCACCCTCGCAACTGTTTGCGTCACGGACATGCTCATGTAAGGCAGGGAACAGCGAGGGACACAAGCGCTCCAGCGAGGAGGTCGGACGTGAGCCTCTTCTCCGGCTGCTTTCAGAGTACATATCCAGGTGCTCGGTCCCTCAAAGAAGCAGCGTTGCCGCCTTGAAGCCGAAGATGAAGGCATGCCTGCAGCCGGCTCCTCGAAAGTCTTGGCCATTGCCCGTGTCTACTCGACTCATGCCCCCCCACGACCAACAGTCAAAGTGCAAGCGACGGAGGAAGAGGAGGGCGCAAGCCAGACGCAAGAGGACAATGAGGGGGAGAAGGAAAGGGGAAGAAAGGGTGACGGAAAGAACGGCAAAGGCAAGCAAAGGACTGCTGCCTCATCCTCAGTGCACGGAGCAGCTGCACAGGCTTTCAATGTAACGGTGCCGAGCGAATAGCAGTTCACTGCAATGCTTCGACTCAGGTCTTGGAAGCACAGCGGCTTTTTCTGGCACCGGCCTCAGTGAATATTGCAAGGGTCCTTTGAAGCTCCGCGGCTGTGGTTGCGTTGTGTAGACAGGAAGATGGAAATGCTCAGCAAGCGCTTGAAGCCATGCATAGGGCTCAGTGCTTGGCATGGACTAACGAACCCATTGAGGAGAAAAGTCTCGCCTTGCTAAGGCCACGCAGCTTTGGTCTTAGATGCTTGGGGGGTTGCGATTTGTGATTCGCTAATCTGGGCTTCCGAGGTCAGCATTTGGAACGATGTCTTCTCGGCGCTCTTGCTCGTGGCCTGTCGGATGCCATGACCGCAGACTGGACCTGTGGCCTGCACATTTGCATCGGTGGTGGCTGGAGGCAGACACGTTGAGCCAATTGCCTCACCAGGCGGCTGATGCCCCAGATCTCTTTTCGTCCTCTCTGATGACTTAACTCGATGCCTGCGCGAGGTCTCGCTGTATGCTCACGCAGCTCAGAGCCTGCTGTGGAACGCGGTCCTGTCCCGAAGGACATGTTGCCGCACCACTCACGCGTCCGATGTTGTTGAGCTGGCATCAGTGCATCCTGCAAGAGCAGCATTACAGGATCCGCGAGTTTGGGCGAGAGCCTCGCATCGGCCGACCTTGCAAAATTGAGAAGTCACCACGGGGGAGTGGTGCGAGCTGTGATGTCGTGCCACTCTGAAGATTAATCGCCAATCAAGAACGTTTCGAAATTCGCCTTGATGAGCAATGTGCCACTGCCCGGCAGAGTCGGCAGGCGACACGGCAGAACATGCTTCAATTTCTTTTTTAATAACTGCTTTGGCTGCAGCTTTGCAGGCGAGGCTCAAAGCTTTTTTTGTGTCACATGGCAGGAGACCTTATCATGGTGGCCTCAGCTGCGGGCCAGGCACATCAAGAGATCCTCTCCAAGGGGTACTTGTACATCTTTGTGAGAGGCCGGCTGCACAGGCTTGCCGGACGAACTGGACGTGCTTGCCATAGCTAAGTTCCAATACTCGTTTTTAATCCTGAATTCTGCAGCCCGCTTCGCAAGTTGCGCTTCGCAGTGCTGTCTAAGGATGCGAATGAAGCGTTGTTCGAAGAGCTCGGAGAGCAGGCTGGCCGATGGCGAACCTGCTAACGTTGGGTGAGTTGCTTTCATGAAAAGGCTCGCACAATCTCGCAGATCCTCCTTTGAATCTATCGAGAAATGTGGCACTTGCGGCTCAAGCCGCCCAAGCCCCTCTCCTTGGCCATTAGCTGCAGGCCTGGAGTTGAGTGGCTCAGCATGACGAATGTCCTTGAATGTGCTTGCTCAGGTATGGCAGCCAAGCCTACCGTTCATGCTGTTAGCTTCGGTGATCCACCGGATCCCACCAAAATCACAACATATCCTGGAGTTGCTCGACGTGCCTCGGCTCGGATTCGCAAAAGTGCATTGGTCCCTGATGGTAAGCATTCGTCCTGTAAAGGTTATCTTCCCCATGAAGCATTGGTCATCTACAGGCCACTATGTTAACGAGTGACCACATAAATCTACGTGCCGAGAAACAAGCCGTGCTTTTTTGCAGGGAGAAAATCTATGCGGAGAGAAAGGCCTGGCAATGAGCCTTCGACCAGGGTCCGGTAAAGCCTTTCATGGTGAGAAAGGCCTACCAGACGCCATCTGGAGATCGTTGGTTCAAGGAGAGATCCGGTCTTGCTCGACTGCTTTAGTTGGATCCCAGGCCAAGTTTGTCAGGAGCACAGGCGCAAGCAGCGAGAGATGGAGAAGGTCGAGAAGCAGATCAAAGATTTCAGGGAGTCTCGCAGGCCTTTCATGCAATGCATCAGGATGTTGGCACTGCACTGCCCGAACTCCACATCAGGTCGTGTCAAGTGTAGATGCTAGGATGTGCAGCTCTCACCAGCGATAGCTCACAGTGAGGCAGCACATCAAAGCACATCCGTTAGCCGGCATGAAGTGGCTTCATGCTCATGCTTGAGCCCTGATCTCCGGCCATTCACACACCGACTGCTCCTGGCAGGGAGTTTGTGCGGAGCCTGTCCTTGCCGAGCATTTCTGCGAGGGAGCAGTGATGGTGCTTGAGGAGTGGGGGCTGTAGCTAGTCGGCAGCAGCTGACAGCGATTGCTGTGAACAGTCGAGGTCAGATCGCTTGTTCTTGTCATGGTCGAAAGGCAGCCTGAAAGGCAAGCTGAGAGCCTGAGAGCTGTATGCTGCGTCTCCAAACGAGCATCCGTTCTATGTCGGTTGAGCTGCAGTGCTAGCAGTAGCATGCCATTATTCCATCCGGGGCTCAGCGAAGCTGAGGAGTGACCAGCCAAGCCACAAAGTGGCAAGAGGCACATCACTGTACTGCCCCGCGCGTGTTGAAAAGTTCCGAATGCGGAAATGTTCTGCAGACCGGCCTTTCTTAAACGAAGTGCTTATGTATCCGTCGTGGTCCGTCGCCGCAATGGACTCAAGGTAGGCCTCTTTCTCCGCCGTCCCCGGAGAGAGTTGCCGTTGGTTAGCCCAGCTAGCCGAGGGACCGCACCGGGACGCTGATGACGAATGCGTTGAGTGGGATGCCTAGCCCCTTCCGCGCAACTAGCTTCCTACAACGTCTGCGGCAGTCCTTCAGGCTAGAAGGACCTAGGCGAGACGGCGGCGAATCTTGCGGCACGGCAGATGCCAGAAAGAAGGACCATTCTAAATGGTCGCTGCCTCGATATGGGACTTTGCGCAGATCTTCTTCGAAGGGACCCCCACCAACCCTGCTAGCAGCCCGACAGCGGGACACAAGCCCACGAGGGAAACCTGGAAGTCCACAGGCAAGTGATGCCAAGGAGGCACAGGTTCCTGGTAGTGCGACGAGGTCAGGCACCTTCCAGAAATCATTTCGGGGTCATGTACTGTATGGGCAAATGGCAATTGCTTAAGCTTTCGCTTGCCGTGACAACTTGGACCCCTGAAGGCCTGCCGCAAGAGCTGGCGCAGGTCATCGAAAGCAGCAGGTTCAGTTTGCTTCAGTGGATGGGGACTGTGACACGTCTTTGCCTGGTGGCTTTAGAAAAAGCCGAAGAACCAGGACAATACACACATGGCTAGGTGCAATGTTAGATGCCTCTGAGGGCGGACTTGATGCTACGATTGAGCCAAGCTCACCGCTACCGTCTGGAAAGTCTTCGAGGTCTCTGCGCACGCCAGGTGATGCTTCGGCAAGATCAATGGGCTTGTGCAGCCCACCAGGCAGCCCAACGACTGACACAGTCACGAGCATCATCACACTACTCAGAGAGTATTTCTTTACGAACGTGGATTTCGATGGTTCGGGACACCTCTCGCGCCAGGATCTTTTTGACCACATTCGAGAGCTTCTGGAGAAAGATGCTGGCAAGGTTCTAACAGATGATGATCTGGAGCTCCTGGGTGAAGTGGAGAGATGTCGTTTCTCAGAAATGGACCTAGGTCTTGAAGGCCAACAGGGCTTGGGTGTCTACGAATGGGTTCACTTCATCATGCTGCGTGCATCGGCTCCCAGCCATGTGGCAGCCAAGCACCTGAACCGAGACCTTAGAACTGCTCTGGAAGATGAACCTGAGCTTCTCAAACGGTTGCATGCTACTTTTGAGGCAGCAGATTCTGAAGGCGATGGGTTGCTGCGAAGGGACGTGTGGCAGCAGGCGTTTGAACCACTCGGAGTGCAAGCACCAGAGCAGGCCGACTTTGACAGAGAAGAAGATAGTTTGGCAGGGGCACTGAGCTCTTTGGCTATTACGTATGATTCGTTGCTTGTGATTTTCTTGTTAGCGCAGTTTCATGAGTTCAGGGTTCCCAAGCTGCCCGTATCAAAGGCTACTACGAGTTCGTTGCCCATGCATTGGGCTTGAAGGCCTCGGTTGTGGAGCTTGCCCTTTACGATCTCTCCAAGGGCGTGGCTCAATGGGTACCTGCATCGCTACTCGGGGGACACAGCTTTGATGGCGTGTGGCATTCTGGGCTTCGTGTCTTTGGCAAGGAGTTCTGGTTTGGCGGAGTTATCTTGGAGTCTGAGTTCACAGACGTGCCATTTGGTGCACCAACCCGGATATTGAGGCTCGGGACAACCCTTCGCACACACGAAGATTTGGTTGAGTTTTTGAAGGAGGACGTTTATGTAGATTACAACCCAAAAAGCTATGACGTTCTTCGGCGCAACTGTAATCACTTCTCGAACGAGCTGGCACAATTCTTGCTTCATGGCAAACAGCTTCCTGAAGAAGTCCTCTTGCAGCCAGAGTGGGTGAAGAACGCCCTTCTGGTCAGCATCTTTCATCCTGCCTTGAACCGCTGGCTTGGTGGATTCGGTGATGCCTTGACAGGCCGCGAGGGATATGATGGAGATCTGCGAGCGCCGCAGGCCGTTAGCCGCATTGACGACATGACGGAGGAGTGGCGGCATCGCCTTCAGGTAGGAGATCTTGTGATGCATCGGCGGCGCTTCATTGATCGACCACGCGTAGCCCGCCTGCTGTACATTTCCGGCCCGGACGAAAGTGGACGGCACGTGGCAGAGATCAAATTCCTGAGGCCGACAGCTGTGGAGAGATTGGAGGACCTCTCAATAGAGTCACCTCCGTGGGCATGGGAGATTGTTAGAGAATCAGACGTGCCTCTGCGCCAGTTTTACCCAGTTCTTGAAGATTCCGAAGGCGGAGCTCGCATTCTTAGAGCCGGAATGGCCATCCGAGACTCCAGGGCACGGCAGGTCTTGCGGAGATCTCGCGAGTTTCCAGCACAGCCGGCTTGTGCAAAGGGACATCCATTGAAGTATCAGGAGGGTCCCGGCCATTGGTGGGCTTCACTTCGAGCATGCTCGATTTGTGCCAGCTCTTTGCAGAGTTCAGAGCCACCACTCTTCTGTGCTCAGTGCAGTTTTGCTCTTTGCAGACGATGCCGTGATCAAGCCTCGCAGTTGCCGTCGGGCGGCGTGTTCACAGACATGTTAACTCCAGAGCTTGCCAAAGCATTGTTGCAGGACGAGAGTTGGCTGGCCTTCAAGTCGCGTTCTTATTTTTTTAGGGCAGACCATCATTCGACTGGCGCAGTCGACAAAGCGAAAATCAGTCGGGTAGATGCCCGCGTGGCTGCGGAACTTGGAGTCAAACCGCTGGCAGAGAGTGAGCTCTTGAAGGAGCTTCAGCGGCTAGCACCGAAAACCAAGGGCAAAGCCTTGCAGCTGAATGAGGCAAGCTTTCAGAGTTTTTTCGCAGCAGCACTATCACGTGGCCTGATGCTTCTGGCATCTGGGAAAGAGTGGCGGCCATGCATCCGTAAGCGCTGCAAACCGCGTAACCGGACGCACAGTGCAATTGCAGATGAGATTGAAGCCCACTTGCCGAAGGCAGTGGATGGATGCTAATTCACATGGCTTACAGCCTTGTCCTGTCTCACCCAAAACGTTCGGTGTCACTGTCCAAGCACATCTGCGAGATTCCCAATACACTGTAGCGTGACCTTAACGTGGGCAAATCCGATGCCGTGCGTGTTCATGAGGCCAGCATTACACTTGAGACCATTGGATGCTCATCGGCATCCAATGGCTGAGGCGAGATGCCGCAAGTGCTCGCTCGCTATGGCCTGGGCCGCATGCCATACAACATGTGGTGCAGACGGAGGTGGTAACTTGCAGGGATGAAGGTTCTTTTGCTCAGTGCCTGCACCGCTGCATGGCTGCAACAGAAAGGCATGCCTAGGAAGCCAATGTATAGAATCATGACATGAGCATGTTATGAGCTTGGGCGTGCAGTCTTGTTTTATGGTGTTCACAAAGCCACATAGTGGGCATGCTTGGTGAGTAGCTTGCATCCAAGACTGCGCCAATTCGTGACAATATCGATCACAGTTCTCGCAATGCTGTGGGGAGCAAATCGCTGTCATGGCACTGACACACTTCTAGACCAAAGATCCAGCAGTTTCGTAGAATAGACCAGAGCTGCCTGCGCGCATTGCCTGCTTCGGGCAGGAAGAAGACTTGTCAGAAGACGACGGCAAGGAAAGCCGCAGCGACCTTTCCATAGTTTGTCTTTGACAGGCACAGTGCAAGACCAAATCTGCCAGGACAGCCACAGTCTTCCAAGCGTGCCAGGTTCTAAGTGCCTCAAACTGTCTCTAGTTGTGGATTTATTCGGCGAAGTGGCTATTGCAGGCGGGCACTCACAGGTGAGGATATCTCTGCTGCGAAGTTTGCGGCCAAGTCCTCGGAAGATTAATTTGGCATCTGTATGAGTCGATGCACCCATGCCACAAAGAGGACATCGTACTTCCTTTTCCTGGCTCTGACGCGGGGGCCTGTGAGAGTGTGGCATTTCGATTGCCCGATCTGCGGAATTTTCTGGTCTTGTTCTCGTTGCATGCGCAAGGTGGTGTATCCGGAGTACCTCCAAGCAGTGTATGAGGAAGCTTGAGGCTGTCAGACCACGGTAGGATCTTGCATAGATGCAGGAACTGTCAGAGAGCCTGTTGGGATTCCCGCTGGCTCACTTCGCATCCTGCAAGTTGGTGCCGCAGGCACCTCAGCCAGTCGCAGCAGTTTGTCCCAGTTCGACAAAATGTTTCCTCGGTAATGTTGCTGTGATGTGAGGCTGAAGGGTTCGTATCGCCACGCTTTAGTCTGCGCCGCTCTCGGAAACAATGTGGGGCAAAAGAACAGCAGCATGCCCCAAGGCCCAAAAGACTTCGAGTGGCATACCGTGGTACCGGACTGGCGCAACCTGCCTCGCAGCCTTGTGCACAACATTCGAGCATGTGCCAAACATGCGTAGAAGGACCCGCAATCAACATCGGCATGGGCCTCAGGTACTGGTACTGTGATCGTGCACAGTGCGTGAGACAGGATCACGACAGAAAGTCCCTTCTGCCGCCAAGGCATTGCTTGAGAGCGATGTGGCCCAGCTGCTCCGGGACAGACCCGTAAATGCCGAGTATGCGCCTTATATGCAGTCGCCACATATGGAGCGGTCGCACAAGGCTCTATTGTGCATTGGGTTTGTCTGTAACCTGTCCCAGACGATTGTCTCTTCGAACACGTATCCAAAAGCACCCCACGCGATCAGTAGCAAACCGGACCACCTAAGTAGACAATAAAACAACGTGTTGAGTGCTTTGTTGGTTCGTGCGTGATTTGTTTATGTTGGCACGAAGCTGTTAATTGTTCATATTCCGTTCTCTTGATTCACGCACATCTGTGTCATTACGAGCGATGCGTCAACAACAAAATGCAGTGCATCACTGAATGAACCGAGGGCATTGTGTTTTCTCTTCGTTCGTTTGTTTGCTTCGCTCGTGCCTCACGCTTCTTGGCGACAGTAAGCGAAACAGTGAGAGAAAAGGGAAGCCACAATACTAAGAACATGTTTTTGTCCGTTTGCTTTGCTGCTTGTTCATAATGGAAAGAAATGTAAGCAAGAAGTGAGCGAAAACACAAACATTCACTGTAGATTGCACTTTGTCTCCAATAACATGAGATTTGGAAGCTGCGGCGTGTGCGGTTTAAACAAGTCGAATTGCGAAATTAGAACGACAGGTCAGGAGCCCAAGCAGAGTTTCGGTCTGTTCTGCCCTTTGTTGCTGTACAGTACGTCCAGATGGGGAATGACTGGGTTGGATGCGGTGTGCTGCCACTGACGTTCGTCTCGAGTGGGTGCTTGTGGAATCGATCTAGATGAGGAATGGCTGGGTTTGAGTGTTCTGCTGCCACTGATGTGCGTCTCGAGCGGCTGGTGGAATCGAGCGTCTAGATGGGGAATGGCTGGTGTTGATGTGCTCTCATGCCGCCACTGATGTGCGTCTGCAGTGGGCACTTGTGGAATCGAGCGTCTAGATGAGGAATGGCTGGTTTTGATGTGCTGTCATGCCACTGATGTGCGTCTTGAGTGAGTGGGCGCCTGTGGAATCGAGCGTCTAGATGGGGAATGGCTGGTTTTGATGTGTTGTCATGCGTCTCCAGCGGGCACTTGTGGAATCGAGCGTCTACATGGGGAATGGCTGGTTTTGATGCTGTGTGGTGCCACTGATGTGCGTACATGGGGATACCGTGCATACGCTCTGAGCACCCAAAACCGTGTAAGAAGGTGTACCGGATGCTCCCAAAACCCTTCCAGAGACATCACAAACTCCTTGAGGAAAGTGTATCGGAGGCTTTACAGGCCCAACATATATACCCCTTAGGGAATGGTATCTGAGCCCCCAAAGCCTTATCAAGAGATATCGGAGCAGCCAACAACCCTCTAAGCAGATCTATCGGTATCACTTTTCAAAGGCTTGCGTTCACTCGGGGAAAGGGACACGGGACCGGACAGAAGGCGTGTATTTAACGACCTTGGATCGCTAGCTTTCAGCGGGTGAAGCAACAAGTTTGATGATGTTTGGCGGTCGATTGCTTCCCATTGTATCACTCTTCAAAGGCTTGCGTTCAATCGGGGAAAGGGACACGGGACCTGATCAAACGTGTGTATTTAACGACCTTGGATTGCTAGCGTTCAGAGGGGGAAGCAACAAGTTTGATGATGTTTGGGCGGTCGATTGTTTCCCATTATCCTGTGCGTTCAAGGGTGTTGCCGCTTCCGATCGTGACTTCTTTGCCTTCGCCCTAACCGGAGCGTTCAAAGGGGTCTAGTAGCTTCCGGAAGGGTCGGTTCGGCCTTTCACCGCTGCCTGTATGTACGCATCAAACACAAGGCACTGCCTGTAATGGAGACCGTTCTCACAAACAATTGATCTCATAGATCTGTTTTTTTGTAGATCGGAGGCATGGAAGATCTTCAAGCCTATGCCCTGTTGACATTTTATATCAAGGTGAACAAAGAAGGAGAAGCATGCAATCTACGTCTGTTCTTGTTTGGTCTAGAGAGTCTAGCTGGTGCCTCGGATGTTCAACCCTTGATTAGCAGGTCGCCAGGGATCCTTCGTTAGTGTGAATCTTCAAACTAATTAGTTCATGCGTTAGAGTACACTCAATGCAAAAATTGAACGGAAACATACGCTTCGTTGCCAGTTCACTCATTGACTGCTGTTCGTCGTCCTGGTCTTTGCTTTTTGTCTACTTTAACGCGGTGTGTGCTGTAGCCTCGCTTGGTTGCAACGCTTTTTTCGGTCAAGCAGGAGAGGAGCCGTGCAGAACATAAGTTTGTGTAGTTGCATTGCAAAGAGCGGGGAAATCTGAGCGTCGAGGCTGCGCGAAGGGGTGGCTGCGGCGCCGATTACAGGACCTGAAGTGGCGAATACTTTGTCGGAGGCTAAGGGCGCTTCCAAGTGTCCATGCCATGCTGAAGATGAATCCTGTACGGTGACAGCGAAATCAAGCCCCCTTTATGTAGCCGAAAGGGCTTAACCCTGAGCACAAAACAAGCAGCCGCTAACATACCTTAAGTTAGAGGTTCATAACTCAGAAAATGCGGAACTGTGCAGTTACGAGATGCTCTTCATGTACAGCAGACCCCCTGTACGTAGCCTGCAAGCTTTGTTATGCTCTGTGTGTGTGTGTGTGTGTGTGTCTGTGTGTTGGTGGGGAACCCTGTTATCAAGGGATAGGAACGAGTGTATCTTTTGACAGCACCCCCTGGCCTAGCAGTTCATCGGGCTGAGGGATTGCAAGTAGCACCCCCAGTCCCCTGCTATGCCGACAGTACCGGCGCTTCCGGTCAAACGCACATCAGGTTGCAGATTCGAGGCTGCCCGTATCAATGTGACAAAGCCAATTCCAGGTTACAGCAGTGACACTCTTGTCAATGACATCACCCCCGCATCTGGGACTCCAACTATGCCATTGTATTTTCTCCAAGTCGCAGAGTGGGACTCCCCGGTCTATGACGTTATCCCGATCCCAGGAATCCCCTATTTATTCTCAGTAGAGGTTGCAGCAGTGGGGCTTCGTGGTCCAGGACTTCCTGTACTTTCCTTCTCATGCTCAAATTCCAGGTTGCAGCAGTGGTGGGAGGTCTCCCCTAAGCCCCTATCAGCGAAAGAGCGGGAATCAAGCAGAAGAAGCCAGAGCGCAAGCACAAAGAGGAATCGAGCTGTTTCAATATTTGCCGAGGCCTCGTGCGACAACAGATGCTGAACCTGGTACTGCGGCCGCAGCCTGAGACATCCTGCATCATGCCACAGTGGCAGGGCAAGTGGAGCTGTGCCAAATGTCCAAGGCAGTGGTTTTCAGCTGTGTGCTTCCACCATCGTCATACCTGTGGACGCCTTGGCATGCTAGCGGAGAAATTGCACAGCCCCAGTTCATTGTCGCAACAAGGACGATGTTCTTGAGGGAAGTCATGAAGCAAACCACCGCTCCGCCGACTCAGTGAAAACTGCGTCGTCCGCTTCCAGTTGTTGAGCGAACACACACAGAGACAGAGATCTCCATTGTTCAGTGCTGCTTGCCGTCACTTCCTCAAGGTCCCTTGCAGGCCTCAGGTTACATGAGTCCACTCAGCTGAATCCGCACAACCCAGTGCAAGTGTTACGGCGACCTTTCTAAACGGAAACATCAAGTCCGACAAGCATACAACCAACGACGACAGATACAACTCTAATCCGGAGGTGATCATTCCCACTTCTGGTACCTCGACTACTTTTCCTTGTTGCGCATCCAAAGGGTACTCTCTTGTGATAATTGCGAACCTCTTTCAATTTCACCTTTTCAGACGACTGTGTCATCTGACGCGGCTCAGGACAAAATTTTGGATCCCAGTTCAATTTGTGCTTGGCTGGGTTTTGTTTTGCTACATCAACCCCGCCCAGAGAAGTGCAGTATGCCTGCGAGTGAGGATCGACTAGGATTATGAGACCTACGCGGTGCCAGTTGCGCCATCGTCACTGACGACTTCTTCAGGGCAGGAACAGCAAAGACAAGACAGGCATATCCGCTTCTGAAAGGCGCATGAGTGTCAGGAGACGAGAATTGCAAAAAGTGTTGCATGTCCATGTCCCATCGTATTGAATTGGGCTGTCTGCAAAAATTGGCGTTCCTCATAGATGAGGCAAGTTACATGTTTTTGGCGAGCTCGCAGCACCCTGCCGGCGAAAAATTATGCAGCAGTCGTGTAAACTGAACGAGTCGCAGCCCAAGTACTTGAAGCTGCATGCCGCTTTTGTCTGAGCCTGGATTTTCCTACTTTGGATCGGTCGCTTCAGCTCCAGCTCGCTGGGATTTGTTTCAGGTTGGCTTGCCCTCGGCAGTGCAGGATGGCAGGAGATCGAGTGCCCCTCTTCCCAGTTGATTGGTCGTTCTCGCGAGTCAGAACCCTTAGCGAGACCCTGGAGATCTCACACACACAATGCGGGGGGTTACTGCATGCACGTCTTTGTACTTGTTGATTCCCGATCCCGGGGTGTCGAGGCTTGTAACACGGTGAAAGCTAGCTTCCTTTAACCGACAGGCATCCTTTGCAGGGGCTGGCCTTCAAACCTGGTGAAAGACCGCTTTCCACATCCTTTTCAAGCTAGCGTCCCTGAGGCTGACATCTACACCACACCGCCTGCCGAATCTCTTTATATCACCGCTGGTTTAGGGTTTAGGGCGGAAAGCCTGTTGCAAAAGGGCGTGGGACCAGGCCACTAATTAAATTTGGCTCCGCCCTCCCCAACCGCGAAGGCATGGTTTTCCTGGTCGTCCCGTCGGGCTTGTTCCAGCTGAATTTGCTTCATAATTTATACCATGCACCTAGTTGCCCTAGCGTCTTGGAACAAGTGCCTGTGTTTTCATGTGAGATATTCCCAGCCTCTTCAAAGCAACCCCATAAACAGTGGGTGACCCTAAAGGCCAGGGGGCTTGAAACGCTCCCCACTGTGTGCCCTGTGGAAGAAGAAGAGAGAGGGGTTTAGGGGGCTTGCCCCCTAGCCCCAAACGCCGAGCAAGCAAGCAAACACGCAAGCAAGCAAGCAAGCAAGAGAGAGCGACGGACGCATGGAGCCTTCACTCTTGTCGTGCAAGGCTTGTTCTACACTGCACACCCCTCCCATTTGACTGAGGCAAGGAAGAGGGACTGATGTTGCCAGGAGGGGCAGTGCGAGTGTGACCCTGAGGAAATGCATATCGAACTGTTTTCACCAGATCTCAAGCAAGCCGAATGAGCGATCGCAGGTGCAGGTTTGGTTAAGGCAGGTTTTGGCGTCTTTACATCTGGAACATCTTGAGTATTGTGCAAGTAGCGACAAGAGGCGGGCTTGATGCAGAATTAGAGTTTGTATTTCGGGGCTCTGTCTGGTGAAGCCATCATGCGCAATGGCTGGCCAGGCTGGGTGGGTTTGAGCAGGGTGTCAAGTTCAAGTTCTAGCTAGTCACACCAAAGATTTCCCTCACCGTGCAGGCCATGCGAAGATTGCGCCATCGAAGTCTTCTGTCTTGGGCTTGGGGTAGAGATGAGATGGAAGGGGAGCGGGAGAGCGGGGCCTGTTTCGTATAGCCCACCAAGAATGCAAGTGGTGCGGGAAGCGAGTGACAAACGCAGTCGGGGCAAGTCCCGGCAACTTATCCAGCAGTCTTGGAGGCTTGTCCGGACTAGAGTACACACCGGACTCCCGCTGTTACTTGGGGCGTCTGTGAACTTGATATACCACCAATATACAGCTTTTGCTCCGAACCCGATTTGCTACATGTCCTGATTTCCCACCGCACTGCCCTGCGCACACACGTCGGAGACTGCGCTGTAGATCCTAGTCTTTCAGCCGGAGTTCCACTGACAAGCCCGGGGACTTCGGTGAGCTAATGTTGAGTGCAATTTTAGAAGTTGAGTGCATGTGAGTGGGGATGTGTTCACAGTACCAGGTCTTCTCAGTTGACGAGTAGCGTCAATTTTGGCCGAACCGAGTGCAAAACCAACAGAGGGCATAGGCCCTTGGAAAGAAAGAGGGTGAAGAAGAAGAGGCAGGGTTGTGGTTGAAGTGGTTGTTAGCTTGATCCTTGTACCTATACGGAGTGAAATCTATAATTGCATGGTGTGAGGTTAGTGGGTGATAGATTATGGCTTGTGCCGAAATGCCTGGTAATCTCGTAAGCCCCGCATGGACTAGAAGGATCCGGCACGCTATAGTGCGCCAAAGCACGAGGGGCAGCAGGGAGTTCCCACCAACAACCCGCGAAGAAACCATATCAGATGAACGAGCATTGAGTGTTGACCAACACTCAGTCGAGGACTGTCATACGCTCTTACAGACGAATATTGCGCAAGGAGCAGCGGGATCCGTGTTTCCACTAGACGAAGTCACACACACACGCACACACCTCACGGCTGTCTCAGGAGCTGGCCGCAGGCACTGCAACTGGCGACGGAGCAAGTGTACTGCGTTCTGCACAGAGCTAAGATCCACGACAGGATTGGGCTCTGTTCGGCAGATTGTCAGAGAAGAGCTGGATCGAGAAAGCAATGCCAGCGACACCGCAGCCGCCTTAATCGACAATTGCTGGTGTCGCAGCTGATTTGATTTTGAGCGCGCTGGTGCGGCCCACTCTTTGCGAGGAGGAAGAAGAACAAGATGATGAAGGTGCTTGATTTGCTCACGTCGGTCATTGGAACAGTGCAGCTCCTGACTGAGCAGACGAAGAAGAGTGGAAGCTTATCATCTGCGTCCGCCATGTGCTTTTCTTAGCCTTAGCATATGCAAAATACTGCCACTTGAGCCGCAGCTCAAACTCACGGCATCCTGCAGGATCTCAACATGTCCGTCGGGAAGGTTGCTGCTCAGGCTGAGCTCTCGATCATGTGCAGGTCCAGGGTGCTTAACAGTTTGTGTCGTGCAGGTGGGCCATGCGGTACATCACTCTGTGACCCACTCTGCGCCCGGTCCTCACATCTCACACTTTGGCTTGAACTTCGTGGCCGTTTGCATGTGCGAACTGGCCTCGACCACGAGTTGTGTATGAACTGCACAGGTTGGCACGAGCTGGACGCTACTATTTGTAAGAGTTTTCGACGGAACACCACCACGCCGGCCACGGATAGTCTCAATCCCAATGTTGCGCATCTTCAGGTGGAGGGATCTCAAAGATTGGGAAGAGCAGGAGCCCCACATCATCGAGTCGTTGGAGTTATTGCTTGTGGCAGTATGCCTGAAGTCAGAGATGTGCTTGCTTAGGTCAGGATCGAAGAAAGTTACATTGAAGACAGAAAGCCGCGGCCCATGTTGGTGTCAGCTTGAGCACGGGTGCTCGATGGACGTAGAACCGGAAGCATGGTACATCATGGTAGTCCGAGTTGTGAGAGCGTAAAGCAGAGTGGCCAGAAGCACGGGATGTACAACTTCGTCTAAGTGTCAAAGGACAGGAGTCCATTCAGATCCATTCTGTTTCGGCAAGACAGGGTCCGACATCGTCCTAAGGTCTCAACCCAGGCCCGGTAATTTCAGATGTGTTTAGAGGGCGGAACCGACAAGCCTGAACAGAGAGAACAGCGCTGTTTCGGCAGAGACATCGAACTGATTGGGGAGATCTTCTGTGTAGACAGCGAGGGGAAGAGACAATTGCTTTGGCTCGCTTTGCCTCTCTCTAGCTCTCTCGCTCTCTGTCTTTCCCGCTTCTTGCTGATGAAAGACCTGTCCTGTCCGTCCTACTGAAAGCCGAGGCCTCAAGCCTGTCAGGTGAACGGGCAAGGGTTCCGAGATGATTCGGCAGCAATTGGGTCGAGTCTTGGGCATTCGTGCGAGCTGCACGCTGGCCAATTGAAACTGTCTCTCGACACTTGGCGGCCAGCGTCGGCCCAGAACAGATGTTCGACGAACTGGTAACGAAAGGAACTCGTCAGCTCAAAGACGATGCCGCAACTGTGCGCCGCCAAAGTGTCATGCCAGCCTCAAATCGTGGACGAGCTGAAGAAGTTCTCGTCACTGTCCCAGTGGGAGGAGGCCTGCAGCCTTGTCGCAGAGCTGCTGCATTCCAGCATCATGCCTCACCCTGTGTATATCGCAACAGCAACTGCGGCCTGCGCCAGGGCTGCATCATGGCGACAGGCACTTCTGCTCGTAGAAGCTATGGGTGGCACACGCATCAGCCCCAACATAGTTGTGTATAACTCTGCGATAAATGCATGCACAAGAGCCAAGATGTGGCAACAGAGCCTTGAAATCTTGGGATTGCTGAGCTCTGAAAGCTTGGAACCCAGCACCATCACGTTGAACTGCCTTATTTCAGGCTGCGAGAAAGCAGCGAAGTGGCAGCACGCTTTGTTCCTTCTCTCTTGGGCCGGCACGGCGAAGTTGAGCGTGGACACGATCACTTTCAATTCAGCGCTGAGCGCTTGCGAGAAAGGGAACCAGTGGATACCCGCGCTGAACTTGCTGCAAGAAATGGGGGTGGCAAAGGTCGAAGCCGATTCCATAAGCAACAGCGCCGCTCTGTGTGCATTGGGGCGAAGCAACAGGTGGAAGGAAGTGCTGCAACTGTATCGGCAGATGGATCCACTCTCTGCAACCCAAGCCCCTGCTGTTAGTCTGGCCATTCGTGCCTTTGACCAGCAGCTGCGGTGGCAGGCCGCAGGAGATCTTCTCCGTGATAAATGCCAACAATCCCTGAGACCCGATGTAAGACTCGTTGGTTGCACGGTGTCCTCCTTTTCGAAGGCAGCAGCTTGGCCTGCAGCCTTGTCCGAACTGTACGCAGCAGCTGCCCGTTGCGTCAATATTGATAATGTAGCTCGCACTGCTGCCACATCTGCGCACATGTTGGCAAGCCAGTGGCAACTACCGATTGCTCTGCTGGGCAAAGCCGCCTCGCGAGATGATACGAGCCTGAGCTTGGTGTTGTCAAGTTTGGAAAAGGCAGACAGGGGGAAAGAGGCAAGCTGCCTCTATTGCAGTTGTGCCCGTCAGAAAGTTCGCCCAGGCACCGTAAGTTCCAACGCAGCTGTTGCAGCTGCGAGAGGTGCATCTTGGCAAAAATCGCAGTTGATGTTGGCGCAGCTTCAGCAAGCAAAACTTAGAAGCGATGTCGTGACTTTTTCCTCATGCATGACAGCATCTCGAGCGGATGCTGCATGTGATGGATGGATCCCTTCGATAGCCATGCTTGAGAGCATGCAACAGCATCGTGCAACTCTCAACACAGTCGTGCTCGGAGCAGTTCTGAGCTCACTCGAGACGGGAAGCAGATGGCAGATGGCACTGGATGCAGTCAGGGTTGCAGACGGTGTCCGTGCGGTCTTGAATGGAGTGCAAATTGGAACAGTCGCGTGCTGCTTGTGCACAGCCGTGGTTCGGGTGTTGCATTGGAGTTTCTGGACAATGCGCGACGGAGCTGGTTAGAAGCGGAAGTTGGTGCGCCAAAGCCACAGCCATCTGTGAAGGGAGCGCCTGCCGACATGCCGCGGATCTTTGGCGTGTCCAAGCCACACGGATATTCTACAGAGCAGCTTCTGCAGCAGCTCCAGAGAGACATGGGATGCCCGCTCTCGATAGCATCACGGCTGGACTACGGAACGTCTGGTGTGCTTCCCATCGCTCGTGGCACGGAAACATCTGCTGCTACCAGATGGCTGCAAGCCCAGTTTGCTGCTAGAGCAGTCCACAAGGACTACCTCTGCCTTTGTGTCGGTGATAGCAAGTTGACGTCGCGAGGAAGGCTGAACGCTGCTATTGTCACGGCTTCAAGGGGCCTCCAGAAATGGACATCGGAGGTTTCGCTGGAAGGGAGTGAGGCGGTCACTGAGTATTCCACATGGGCGAAATACGAGGATCCTGAAAACACACGTCATCGATTCTGTCTGCTGTCAGTCAAGCCTCTGACTGGCAGGACGCACCAAATCATAGTCCACATGGCAAGCATCGGCCTGCCCATTGTGGGTGATGCCCAGTACGGTAAGAAGGGAATCGATCCAACACATTGCGGAAGATTGTTTTTGCATTGTTATCGATTGAAGATGCTCGGTCTTGATGGACGGCCATTGCTGTTAGTTTCGGAACTTCCTCAAGAGCTCCAGCTGACTTTGATGCGGCTTCGGCTTGTTGAGAGGAGCTCCGCATTGCAGTGGGTGGACTTGCGGTATGGAGAAATGGAGCACATCTGACAGGGCGACAGTGCCACAGAACTTCACGGAATGCTGTGGTTCTGCCCTTAGTCAGGCGAGGAAGAACTGCAGGATCTCCTGGAGAAAGCCAGGTCGAAGGGCCTCCTTGTTCCAGACTCAGTGCGTTTCAATATATATCATCCGGGCATGTAGAGACTTGCGTCTTCAAGAAAAGCACGACGGGAATCGGATGTGGACTGGGCACAGCAGCATCAGGTGAGTTGTATCGGGAATCTAGGTTTGCCGCCTGCTTGTTGTTCGGAGCTTCAGGCTGAGACTATACAAGATGCCGGCCACACAGAGGTCGGGCACCATGCTTTTGTGCACATGCGGGGAGCGGACCATCCAGAAAAAGAGTTGTTTCATAGTGACAGATCGATGAAGGTCGAACCAGGCACCACCACTGTTCTCGCGATTGGCCCTGCTCCAGCGAGGCGCCTGCGACGATGTGATTGGATTGATGTTTCGTTGAAGTCTCGTTAGGCGCTTGGACGCTGTGACTGGGCATCTCAAGCCCTTGCCGGACACTTTTTGCTCTGAAGTGATTTCTTTCAACGCTGGCTCATGCTGGCTCTTCGCGAGGACCGGGTCCAACAGATAGAGAAGCAAAACAAGAAGCTGCTGGAACGTGCGGTGCGCCAGCTCTGGCAACATGCAAGCTTCTCAGAGGTTTCGCCCGGCACAGACTAGCTAGTATGCGCGGACGCAGGAGCGATTGCAGAAAGAAGTCGATGAGGAGAAGAGGAGACTCCTGATGTGCGCATGAGGACTCGTAGGCAACAGTGCGGGACGAACCTACGCAACAGGAAACACAAGAGGCTGGCGAAGCAGTCGCGCACCCAAGGTAACCTCGGTAAAGGACGTCTGGACTTTTTGTGTGCTGCCTCAGTGCCATCGGGCCAAGGTTTTCCGCGTTCCGGCAGTATCTCTGATGGAAAATCCAGCGACGCTTCCCTCACATTGCCCTGTATGGACACGCGTTTGTTCAGGCAAACCCGCTCTCACGTGTCTTCTTGACAACTCCCCAGTATGGACTCTCTGGTTCCACGATGACTCATGTTGTCCATTCTGCATTGACAACTCAGAAATACCAGAAACTAAAGCGACTAACAGGGCCATTTCTGGTGAAAAAACCCTGCAGAAAGAAGAACACAGCATAAAGCAGCACAGAAGTTCCAGCCAAGCTCGACTACTTCTTGTGTTCGCTGTTTGTCGTAGCGTCGTATGTGGTCGGCGATGGTCCCCGCCATCCTCGTAGGAGTCCACTCGGAACAAGGGTTAGTCCTCGGGGCCCTCTGCTTGCAGCTTGCAACAGCTTTTGCCTTTCTTCAACGCGCGCGCCTCTGCAGCCGTTTGACTGCCCAGTCGGCTCTCTTCCGATAGGGCTACTTAGCGGCTAGTTTTCGTCAGCATGGTCAGCTCTCCTCACAGGAGAGAGCCGCCGCAAGCCAACATGTCGCAGGTTCTCGGCGTGGTGTTTTTTGTTTTTGCTTTTTCTGGTTCCATGACGGCAGGAGAGGGCGAGGCGTGGAACGAAGGTCAGGGCAGGGGGAAGGAAGGAAGCTAACAGAAACTATGGCAAGAAGGAAGGAAGGAACCGAGAGGCAGGAGGACAGAAGCAAGCAAGAAAGCGTGCTCACAAGACAGAAGGAATGCCGTTGGAGGAGTTCCAGAGCTTCGACCCCGGCTTGAGGATGGACCTCAACGGCTCAAGGGGGAAGAATTCGATTACAAGATTCTGGACGGACTACTCGTACACTCGGATAGTTTCTACACAAAAAAATACATAAATCTAAATATATATATATATATTTTTTCTTTATTTATAAGTCTCCCTCTATATATATATATACATACATACATACATGCATGCATACATACATACATACATACATACATACATACACACATACACCCATGAATGTATGTATATATATTCATTCATATTTATATAGTTGATAAAGAACTTCAAAATGTTATCTTTATATATTTACATATCATACATCCTAAGGACGCCCCTTCATTTACCTGAGCAGCATATAACTCATCCAACTCCTCATTCCACGATTCAAACATAATCCATACATACATATATATATATACATATACATATGAACATTTTCAAATATATATATATATATATTTATTTATTTATTTATTTATGTACTGATATTATCTACTCTTACATTTCGCGATTCTTGATTAATTCACTTAATTTTTGTATTTGTATTTGTATTTGTATTCTGTGTTTACGTTTAGAATCGCTGTTATTTCTTCATTGAATTTATACGATTCATTATATACAAAAAATACGATCGTTATATAACGATTTCGGATTTTTGAAGAATATGCTTTGCTATTATATGCTGTGCCTTACCAGTACTTGCAACTGGTCTGCTCAGCGCTTGTGTCTCTGAGTGCGGTCCAAGCGTAGAGCTTCCAGCCGAGTAGTTGATTGGAGTGGCATTATGGATCCCAGCTGCTTGCGTGCTTTGCGGGAGGCGCACAGCGCACCTCGGATAGAAGCAGAGCAGAACAACCGCCCTCCCCCCTTCCCTAAAAAGCCGAAGCACATGAGGACTCAGACGAGTCTACGCACGCCGGGGAGTACACCCAGGCCTTGACCTTGTGCGATGAGTGCTGGGACCTGGCAGTGCAAGAGGTCCCGAGGCCTCCCTGCTCCACTCAATGTAGCCTCTGCAGGAGCTGGAGAGCGCTATGAAACCTGACTCGCCCAGCTCCCGCACGCACCGAGGCGCATCTTGTCAACCCTTTCGTGAGGTAACATTCATCCAAGATTATGTGGGACTCATTGTAATGCTTCTTGGTCTCGCCCTCGCCTTGGCAGGGGGACAGGGCCACCGCGGCCGCTGCCGTACGCGCAGTGACGTGCGCCAGGCATCGGGAGCGCTGGCAGCGCCATACGTTTTGCGATGCAGGCAGCCCCGCGGAGCCTCAACAAAAACCTCAGTTCCTCTGCAGGTCCTGCGTTTCATGGAGGGCGCCGAGGTCCAGGAGGAGGAGGATGAGGCGGCGTCGCCCACATCTCCCAGCGAGGCGAGGCGTGACATGGCATGATGGACCATTATGGATCTGCGCAGCGGCAGCGAATGAGGCACCAAGCATCGTGCCGAGAACCGATTTGGACCCTCGAATGCTGCCGGTGGGCCTCGTCGTGTCGCTGATTCTCAGCGCGACATGCTGGCTTTGCATTCAGTGCCCGCTCGTGAGTCCCTTGGCCCTTGCATTATCTGACATTCATGCCTGTGTGACACAGTACATGGAAGCAAGTCTGCCATAGCATAACGGCGAGTACGTATGGCAGAGTGTCAAGACTGGACGTTGCTGTGATGATTTGTGATGATATTTGCTGAGGTGCACGGGGGATGGGCCCGGTCTATCTGTTGCGCTGCGGGGTGGTCGCGCACTTCTTGCTGGCTTTTGGCCGGGAGCATGTCTGCCTTGTTGCCTTCTGGTGCATCTCGGCGCCGAACCCTCGCAGCTCGAAGTGTCCTCTGGCTTGCAGGCCTCATGGCCTTCACCGGTGCGGTGGACCCGGGGATGGTGCCGGAGGAGCTTCCGGATCGTCCCATCGAGCGGTCCTACAAGTCCTCGCAGCCTCTTGGCTGCGGCATGTGTGGTCCATGTGGCCTGTGCTTGCCTTCATCAGTGCGACGAATCCGTGTCGCTTCGTCATGCTTCCGTGAGGTTCCCACGCCGCATCCGGCGCCCCTCGACTTGCATTGGCAGCATGATGCGGCGTGCTTGCTCGGTGCAGTTGCGCAATTGGACCACCGAGTGCTGCAATGCCCGAGGCTACGACCACTACTGCCGCTGGCTCCTGAACGGCATCGGTCTCCACAACCATCGGGAGCCTTGGCAAGGCCTTGACAGGCCTAGCTGACCTGCCGATGCTGTTGGGAGGAAGGGGCGCTGGGCTGAGGAGTTCTTCATGCTGCTCATGGTCTTCACTGTGATGGTGGCGGGCGGTTGCTTGGCTGCCTTGGCTGCTCATGGTCGGTCGGTGTTCTATGGCGCAGATTCCGGTGCTCTGCCAGCTCTATGATGCTTCCAGTGCTTGGTTGGTTTGAGTTTGAGGCTTTATCGTGGATGTTTGGCTCCTCGCCGCGTTCTGGAGCCTGGAGCACTGGGCCGAGGCCCCAGGTCATTCCACAGCTTGGACATGCTTGGATTTTTTCTGAGATTCTGTGCAGTTTTTTTTTTTCATCTTCCCGGAAAAAGTCTCGATACCTCTCGAGCCGAGGCCACAGAGAGCCTGCTGGCCGCTGGGCCGAGCTGATGTCGAGTTCGCACGGGGTCCAGTGCGCAAGCATAACGGCCTCGCCCGCCCCACCTCCCATGGACTGTAGGCGGCGCACCTGGTGTATTTGGCCATCTTCGGCTACAACCTGATTCCCGTCGTCCGCCTGCATGTGACCTTCGTGTCCAGGACACGCGGTGAACCCATGGCGCACAGCATTCTTGTTTCTCTGGCACACCTCTGACTAGACGCACGGTACTTTAACATGTCAAGTCATTGTACCTGTTTCTCGGTCAACGGCAGGAACGAGCTCGCGAATGAGTGGAAGGAAGACGAAAATTACGTGGTGGATGATCTGGAGTGGAGCACCCAGTCAGGTCAGCACGTGTGTTGCTAGCGACGTGTTCTCGGATGCGGCAGTCCTGCGGCGAGTGCGCAGCGCACCGAGATGCGCTGAGGACAGGTACATCCGTGTGGGTGGGGGACCTGGATACAGACGAATTCAACGCGAAGTTCGACTCTTTCCGTTACGCCCCTCGGCGAGCACGTGGCAGCTTGCTCGGGCGGGGAGGGCCAGCTCGCAAGGTTGGGATTTGTTGGCTCATGTTGCCTCATGTTGGGTCATGCGTAGGGTCATGTTGGCTCCGGATTCGAAACATCGCCAGTCGAGCGGCTGAGGATCCCACGCGGAACCGCTGGGACAAAGGCTGCCCCACGACGCTGGTCGTCACAACAGAGAGCGGCTTCGCAACGAAGCTACTTGTAGCATCTTGTAACATCGTAGCTGCCAAGGCAATCTGTAGCTGTAGTCACAGGCATGGGTATGACGAGTCTCAGAAGTCTGAAGTGTCAAGCTAAGGAACTGCTTTCTGTTCTGGTTCGTCCCAAGATGGGATAAGGATCAGACCGGCGAGTTCTGACCTGGGCAAAGCTCTTGGGAAAGAACTCGCGAATGGCTCTGTTTGAGCCATGAAAGACTTTGTGGCGCGGCGCATCCTGTCCAATCACAGCTCTTGGCCGCTGGTAAGGGCCCTGTCGGGGTGTGTCAAATTTACAGCAAAGCATACAATCAATGATTCTGCCTTGTCTGTGTGGCTAATCTGGCGACTTACCTCAGACAGGCCTGATGAACAAGAGTCATAAGAATGATGCCTCGAACCTGGGGCATCTATTTCAGGTATAAGTGTCACCTGTGACCGGATCTTGGATATGATTAGAGCTGAGCCAATCATCCACGGTCCACGCTGTCGTGTTAAGACAGAGCTCCGTGATGCAGCCGGTCATCGGCGTGAGGCTGCCAGAATAAAAGAAGCCCAGCGCTCTTGGTCCGGCGGGTGGTGCGTGTCTGCCTCAGGGTGCAAGCATCATGGTACAGTGATCTAGTGAGCCTTCCATCAGCCTCCATCGAAGCTTCAGTCGGGTCGACTCGATTTCCTTGTAGCACTGGTGCACAAGGTGCAGAAGTGAAGTTCAGTACTTCGGTCATCTAGTTAGTGGGTAGTTAGGCGGCGGACATGAAGCCATGCCATAGTCATGCCTTATAGGATTCTTAACGCGGTAGGCGTTAGCATTACTTTTTGTTACCAAGCGTTCGCCGGGGGCCCCCACCGCTGGTGTTATGCTTTTTGATTCTTTATTTCTTAATTTATCTCTCCGATAAAATACTAGAGA